TTTGTTTTAACTGTTTGTGCTTTCTGGCAGCTCTTCTCATGCGTGCACTAGGAACAGGCTCCTCCTGTTCCTCTGCCTCTCTGATGTCCAACTCTGAAGGCTCCGGAGTCCGGAGTTTCAAAACTGTTGTGTCGAAATGAAGATTAAGCTTGCGTCCAAACTTTTTAACTCAACCAAAGAAGCCAAAAAGCTAGAACAAGAAACCCCTTTTAAAAAAAAGGACTGTATGACTTCATTCCCGCAGTCCAAGCTATGCCACTTCTATATCTTCTATATTGTCTTTTTTTTAAAAGGGACACTTGATCTGGGTTTCTTGGCTGAAATCGTCAGGGGAAGGCTAACAGATCTGCTACACCGAAAATGGATTTTCGTTTCACTTCCCACAATTGGGTTATTTTACCAGGAATGACATTTTTTTTGCCTTGTCAGCGTCTCAGACCCCGGGCTGAATTTTCGCCCTCTTGGGATTTAACAAATAGATCAGTTATAAATGAATACTTGATCTAAGGTAACCGCTTAAGCTCTCTTGTTTCCCTTTCACCACCAAGACCTGCTAAATTTTACCTGCTTTTGAAACCCTGGTTTTTTTTGAAACCTTTTAATAAGCCTACAGACCAATGCTGTTCGTTTTCTGAAGCTCAAAGGAAACCCTGTTCAGTTTTCTTAACCCTCAGTTACCTATGTTAGCCGACATTTCTTGCATAACTGGATAAATAAAACTGCTGCCTTAGAGATACAAGCACAAATCTCAATGCTTTAGCTTTTAGCAGATTTACTGACTTCTACTAGCGGAGAATAGCACTTATTTTCACACTCCTACCGGCTGTTAAAAGGCAGTTCCTGAATAGGAAAGAGTTGCAAGCTTTAAGATGCGTGAACCTCAACTCCTAGAATTCTCCAGCCAGCCTGCTTTAAGATGGGTGGGCTTCGAACCCCAGAATTCCCCAGTGCTGTCTTAAAGTTTCTTAAAGTGCCTAAGTTTGAGAAACAGTTTTAGACAAATTTTTTTTGAACCAGAAGTTGTTCTCCCAAACTGGCTTTGGACCAAGGAAATTTTTTTAGCCAAATTTTGTTTGATCCACATTTTGGATCGATGGAACAGAATTTTAAGTTTACACCCAAACTAGCCTGAGTCATGCCCAACATCCATTCTGGCAACGGTAAAGCCATGCCCATATTTTGACGCCAACTGCAGGAAGAGAAAAGAAGGGAAGACGTGATACCAGTCGTAGAGGAGATCAACCCTGACTGCTCTTGAGAAGGCCAGATCCTGAAGAGGAAACTCTAATCCTTTGGCCACCTAATGAGAAGGAAGGACTCCCTGGAGAAGAGCCTCATGCTGGGAACGATGGAGGGCAAAAGAAGAAGGGGACGGCAGAGAAGGAGGTGGCTGGATGGAGTCCCTGAAGCAGTAGGTGTGAGCTTCAATGGACTCCAGAGGATGGTAGAGGACAGGAAGGCCTGGAGGAACGTTGTCCATGAGGTCATGATGGGTTGGACACGACTTCGCAACTAATAACAACAACAACAAAATATGCTCTAATTTTCCCAAGAGGTTTAGAATCCTACTGCAGTCAGGAGAAAACTCAGCAACCGAGCGTAGTCCCACATGTGGAATTTTTCAGGAAATGAGACAGATTTCTTATTTCCCCTCGTGCCTGGCTCAATATTGTCTAATTTTAGACAAATAAAAAAAAAACAGCTCTTCATCTCCCTCTTTGCTGCAAAAGGGACAACTGTGCTCTTCAGCATGCAATCCGGCACCCACTGGGTTCCTGGGCTGCACCCTCCTTTTTTGTCCAGCTTTTTTTTTTTAATGAGACCTTTCTTAATTGTTCCCCAGCGGTGCTCTATTTTTTTTTTATTTATTTTTTATTGTTTAGCACCTCAGTTGGGTCTCCTTGATGCATTCATAAAAGGAAACTCTACTGCGCCCAATAATGCAAAAAAAAGCCTCCAAACCCATAATAATAATCCTGCAAAAGGAATAAATAATGCAAAAAGAAAAAAAAAGGGAGGAAATCAAAAGAGGAAAGTTTTGCCGTTGAGCTGCAAATTGGGAGGCTGGTGCTTTGTCTTCACGAGAAGACCCAAACTTCAAAAGAGAAATAAGGGGTGGGGAGGAAGTCACATTTTGTCCGCCTCCAATAAAGTCATTGTAGTATATCGTAGGTTTTTATTTTATTTTTTTTGTGCGATAACCTAATCACAAATAATTTATGCAGCATGAAATTGCCAGAAAGTCCGTTGCAGATTAAAAAGAAAAAAAAAAAAAGCTGAAAATTTGCTTTGAGCAACTCAGAGAGATTAATGTTTTTCAGGATATTAACGTACCAGATTACCCAATTAATTAGTAATAGAATGGAATGGAACGGGTTGGGACGGGACAGAATAGAACAGAATAGGACAGGACAGAATAACAAAGCTGGAAGGGAACTTGGAGGTCTTCTAGTCCAACCCCTCGATCAGGCAGGAAACCCTGCACCACTTCAGACAAACGGTTGTCCAATCTTTTCTTAAAAGCTTCCAGTGTTGGAGCATTTGCAACTTCTGGAGGCAAGTAGTTCCACTGGCTAATTGTCCTCACTGTTAGGAAATTCCCCCTTAGTTCTAGGTTGCTTCTTTCCTTGATTAGTTTCCATCTGTTGCTTCTTCTGGTGCTTTGGAGAATAGCTTGACTCCCTCTTCTTTGGGGCAGCCCTTGAGATATTGGAATGCACTGTTATCGTGTCTCCCCTAGTCCTTCTTTTCATAAGACTAGACATACCCAATTCCTGTGGTTGTTCTTCTGGCAGCTGACATCAAAATGGCTTTACTGTTCTGATGATATGACCATGGGGATGCTGCAATGGTCATAAGTGTGGAAAAACAGCCATATGTTTTTTCCCCCCAGTGCTACTGTAACTCCAAACGGTCATAGATGAATGGTTGAGGGCTACCTGTAATCATTGGATAAAGGAAAGCGCCTCCGTGTTGCATATGATTTTGGAGAAAGCGGAAAAGCTCCTGAGATGAGCCTCTGGAGGCCCCTCAAAGCATCTTCTCGAGATCCTTTCCAATTAAAGTGAACCCAAGCTAAGTTCAGAGCGATTAAATCTAGGGATGAGGGCTTAATTAATAGCAAGCGGTCAGTGGCATTTTCCTTACCCCAGTCAATAAATTAACCTTTCAATCAAAGGAAGACATTTCCCTGGGCTAATTTGAGAGTCTCACCAGAAAACGAATTGTTCAAAAAGTCTTCTCCAGCTTGGAAACCCTCCAGGCGGCTGAGCTGCTAGAGGTTGGGAGATCCTTCGTTGAGAATCTGGGGTGAAGACAGTTACCTGTGATGCTATCCAGGTTAAGAAGGCTGACTTTGATTCACAGGTAGGGAAGGATTGATGGATGTCTCTTCATCCAAATGAGTGTTGACCTTCAGCAATCCCATAGATAAATGTTCTCCATGATGACCTGTCTCTAACCCGGTCCTTCAGATCTTCCAATGGTTCTCCCATCATCACCACTGGAACTGAGTCCATCCGCCTTGTTGCTGGTCACCCTCTAAAGAGAAGAGGGCTACTTCCACTAGTCACATCATTGTGGACATCTCCGGAAATTGCATAGCTCTTACTTAGATGGATAGATGGGTAGATGATGGATAGATGGAAGGATGGAGGGATGGATGAATGGAGGGCTAGACTGATTATGTGTCATCAAGTCAGAGTTGTCCTTCAGCAACCCCATAGATAAATGTTCTCCATGATGACCTGTCTCTAACCTGGTCCTTCAGATCTTCCAATGGTTCTCCCATCATCACCACAGGAACTGAGTCCATTCACCTTGTTGCTAGTCACCCTCTTCTCTTTAATTCCCCTACTCGAGGAAGATAAATGTGTAAGGACGCCTGTCCCAGATCCCAAATCAGCCCCTCCCTCTTCCAAACATGTGCCAAACCCACTTTATCCATTTCCTTCTGACACAGGTAGTCCTCGACTTACGACCGCAATGGGGACCAGGATTTCACATTGCTAGGCTTGTTCAGTGATTGAGTCACGCCTGATTCTAGGAGCTTTTTGGCCATGGTTGTTAAGCGAATCACCATGGTTGTTAAGTGAGTCACACAGTTATTAAGCGAATCCAGCTTCCTCCATTGACTTTGCTTATCAGAAACCGGTTGGGAAGGTGATCAAATGACGATCACGTGATCCCCGGTTGTAAATACATTTCAGTTGCCAAGTGCCCGAATTTGATCAGGTGACTGTGGGAGATCCTCCAATGGTCGTAAGCGCGAGGACTGGCCCTTTTTCCAGTGCTGTTGTAACTTTGACGCGAGCAAATAGTTGTAGACACAAGGAGTGACTTTTTTTCAGTGCCGTTGTAACTTCATTTCATTCTATTTTATCTTACTTGCTAAATTTATTGGCCGTACAGCTTACACCCCAGCTTAAAATAAAACACCGGTGCTAAACGAATGGTTGTAAGTCGAGGACCAGCCCCCATAAGGTCCAATAATTGATGGAGAGGGAGTGGAGGTGCAAATTGGCACCCGTTCATTCCTTCCCCGATGACTTTTCCATTGGCTAGAGAAACGATCATTGGCCGAAATCAACCCGTTCGGGAGGGTGGGGAGTTTCCGGAGAGCCCGTCTTAAAGCAGAAACCGGTAAATTGGACTGTCCTTTCCTTTCCCATCTGACTGAAGGGGTGCATTTTTCACACAACCCCAACTGCCTATTAATCTTGACAGGCAGCGTTTGCGGACTTCCCAATGCCGAACCACTCCAGCCTAATTAGCCAATTTCCAACCCTCTAATTAATGCGCATTTTGCACTCAAAACCTAATAAGCGGCTCTCCTCAAAGGCAGCCTGACGGTGGAAAAGCAAGAACCGGAGGGGACTGAAAGCGACAACAGCTCTTGGACATCAGCAAGTGGAATTTTGTGTGTTGGGGTTGTTTTGTGTGTGTGTGTGTGTGTATTTTTGGGGTTTGCGCCCACTCTTGTTCATTCTGTGCCCCTTCAGGTCTTTCAGAGGCGCGAGGATGGATCCGTGAATTTCTTCCGCGGGTGGGAAGCTTACAAAGATGGATTTGGAAAACTCACGGGAGAACACTGGCTGGGTACGTCCACCGCTGGGGAATATTGGACAGGGAATTCTAGTCCCGCCCTAGGTAGGAAAGCCGGCTAGGTGACTTTGAGCCAAGCACAAGGAGAAGGTGAGTTCTAGTCCCACTTTAGGCAAGAAAGCCAGCTGAGTGAGTGGATCACAAGGAGACAAGGGAATTCTAGTCCCACCTTAGGCATGAAAGCTGGCTGGATGACTTTGGGCCAAGCTCCAGGAGATTGTGAGTTCTAGTTCCACCATAACCATGAAAGCCACCTGGATTATTTTAAGCCAATCACCAGGAGACGAGAGAGTTCTAGTCCCATTTTAGGTACGAAAGCTGGCTGAATGATTTTGGACCAATAGCCAGGAGAGGATGAGTTCTAGTCCTGCCTTATGTATGAAAGCCAGCTGAATGACTTTGGGCCAATCACCAGGAGACTGTGAGTTCTAGTCCCACTTTAGATATGAAAGCTGGCTGGGTGATTTTGGACCAGTCATTCACTCTCAGCCCAATCCACCTCACAAGGTTGTTGTTGTGGGGGAAACAGGAAGAGACAGGTATGCTCACCGCCTGGAGTTATTTCTAAAAAAATAATAATAAAGGTGGGATACAAATCAATATATAAGACCACGCAAACAATAACCCAAGAAGCAGCAAATAATGGTATTAAAAAGAATCTTGTCACCCGTTTGACTAGGAACAGAAACGCCTATTTTGCTTTCAACCCCAGATTATATAGCAGCAAGAATCCCATCATCATCAAACTCATGTAAACATCCAGTCTGGGCTGGAAGGGACCCTGGAGGTCTTCTAGTCCAACCCCTTGCTCCAGGCAGGAGTCCTTGCTACCCATGGCCAGGAAGGAAAGAAGGAGAAACGCAAAGCTGATTATTTCCTTAATCTCTTCTGGACTTAGGTCTGAAGCGAATCCATGCTCTGAGCACACAAGGAACGTATGAATTGCGCATCGACCTGGAAGATTTTGATAATGGCACAGCCTATGCCCATTACGGGACGTTTGCCGTCGGCCTGTTCTCCGTGGATCCGGAGGAAGATGGCTACCCCATCACTATTGCTGAGTATTCTGGAACAGCAGGTGGGTCTCCTTTCTAAACTCCCTCCCTTTGAGGGAGTCTTGCTTCTTTTTTTGTGGGGTCTTTGGTGCTCTCTGAGCTTTTGCTGTTTTCTGGAAGACATTTCATTACCCAGCTAGGTAATATCATCAGTGCTAGAAGAGAGTGGAGGGAGGAGGAGGAGGAGGAGGGGGAGGGGGGGGAGGGGGGGGGGGGTCATTGGTGCTCTCTGAGTTTAGTAGTTTGCTTCTGTTTTAATAATCGCCCGGAAGTCGTTTTGTGTGTAATTTTTCACATTATCATTCTGACGGAAGAAGACTTCCAAGGTCCCTTCCGACTCTGTTATTCTGTATTCTATTCTTTGGATGCAGCTAGTTTCTTTCTCAAAGGTAGGTTGGGTTGCCATCTGGCCCTCAACAGAAGGTGGACTAAATGACCCCAATGTTCCCTTCCAAGTTTCCATGATGTGGTGGAGTTATGGTTCCTTCCCAAGACGGGATGTGAAGGGATGCCAACGTCACTCAGAATGAATCTTGTGGAACGGTGGAACGTAACATTCTAGCATAAATTGTAATTTGATGATGGAGACAGTTCTCCCAGGGGGTTGATGGGTCTCCATGCTGGATGTTCCTCCGAGATGAGGTTGGAGACATCTTCATTGAGGGAGAAGGACCTCAGTTGCTTCTTCTACAGTTCCATGAAACTTCATTCTGACATTATCTCGCCAACCTAACATGCTTTCTCCTTTCTAGGAGATTCTCTCTTGAAACACAACGCCATGAAGTTCACCACCAAAGACCTGGACAATGACCACTCGGAAAACAACTGTGCTGCCTTCTACCACGGTGCTTGGTGGTACCGCAACTGCCACACGTCCAACCTGAACGGTCAGTACCTCAAGGGCCACCACAGCTCCTACGCGGATGGAATCGAGTGGTCTTCCTGGACAGGTTGGCAATATTCGCTCAAGTTCACCGAAATGAAGATTCGGCCGGTCAAAGATGAAAAATAGCCGAAGCCCCTCTTGTGTTCTTCCTTTGTTCCTCTCCTGCTTTCCCCTTGAAGCCCACCGTGGTGTTTTTTTTTTTCTGGGTCTGGACTGGAGAAACACAGAAGCTGAGACATTCCCTTGCCACCTCTTAACACTTGACTGTGTCAAATGTTCTCTTCGTGTCCTCCACTGAGCTTTCGGAGAAGACACTCATCGTATACCTCTCTCTGACGCAAGACAGGCATTCTTGTAAATCTGTTTTCTTCTCTACACTCAAAGGGACAGGCTGGAGAGAGAGAGAGAAAAAACCATATCTCCTCACTTCATCGTGATGGGTCTAATATCCTACACCTCCCCTACCAATTCGAGATGTTATTTTAAGAGAGGTCCTTTGCTTTGCTCTTCTGGGAAGTTAGCCTTGTGGCTCAAGAGCATCTTCCCAAGGACCTCCATTGTTAGTGTTGTTGATTTTTTTAAAAAAAAAATGCCCTAATTGTTTTTATGGAGAGCCACACATTAATTATTCAGCCAAGGTGAGCTCCGAGGAAGGCCGCTCGAAAAGGAAGAAAAGATTTCACCGGTAACCAGAATGAGTCAAAGTTTAAGTAGGAGATGCTCAGGGTGAAAGCTATAACGGGGAGTCGGGGGGGGGGGGACGGGGAGACAAATTGCATGGATGGAGATTGGAGGTCAATTTATCATTGGACGCAAATTGGTTTTCATCGCCTGAACGCTGCTGAATACAGAAATGTGTTGGTGCAAGAGAGCTAGTCAGAGGTGGGCTTAAAAAGTTTTAGCAAAGGGGTCTCTGCCCGGTTGCTGGGTGGGTGTGGCTATGGTGGGAATGGCCTACTCGGCCTCCTGTACCACGGCGGGTGTGTGTGGTGTTTTTGCCCTCCCCAGGCTCCAGAGGCTTTCCTCGAGCCTCCGGGAAGGCGAATTCGGCCTCCCCAGGCGCTGGAGGCCCTCTGGAGGTTGGAAATGGGCCTGTTTCCAGCCTTCCCAAACTTCCAGTAGGCCCGTTTTTCGCCCTCCCCAAGCCTCCACGCACGCCCTGCACTTACGTGCATCCAAAACGGGCCCCGTGGGGACTCCTGGGAGGGGAGGGGAGGGGTGGGATGGGTGGGGCCATCCAGGACTGGGATTTGGGGGTTCTCCAAACTGCACAGAATCTTAGCTAGAGGTTCTCCCGAACCCCTGCGAACCCCCAGCAGCCCCACCCTTGGAGCTAGTTTAGTACTGGGCCAACTTTGAGAAAAAATATGTATTTTCCATCTGGACGAATCAACCGAGAGAACCAAAAGCCACACGCCAGAAGATCTACAGGACTTATCAAAGTTAAGTTCCTTGAAGTTCTCCACAACCCGCTTCGATCTAACGTGAGTTGTGAGTTACTTTGTGGACTCTCTTGGAGTTGAAGAAGATGGGAACAATGATGGCAACCAGAATAGCTATTCCTATAAGACAAAAGGAGATATATTTATAGCTTGCGGTCGAATTGAGGGGGACCTGGAAACATGGAAATTAAAAGCGTCTTTTTAAAATAAATTTACGTGCAGGTAGTCTTTGACTTGTCACCATTTATTCACAACAGTTGCAGAATCCCAGGGACCAGAATTTTTTTTGCTAAGCATGGCAGTTTTTAAGTGGGTCACGCCCGATTTTACAACCGGGGGCCATGGTTGTTAAATGAGTCATTGAGTTGTTAAGCGAATCTGGCTTCCTCTCCCCCCCCCATTGACTTTGCTGGTTGGAAGCCGGCTGGGAAGATCACATATGAGAATCCCGTTCCGGATGGCTGAGCACTTGAATTTTGATCACGTGTCTGTCGGGATGCTGCAACGGTTGTAAGTGCGAGGACCGGTTGTAAGTAAGTCAGTGCTTTTTCAGTGCTATTGTAACCTCAAACCGTCACTAACAAATGGTTGTAAAGTCAAGAACTACCAGCCTAATGTTTGATTTTATATACTTTTATTAGAACATGCTTTTTTTTTTTTTTGTAAATATTGTCTTGGATTTTGATCTCGGATTTTCCTTTGTAAAGCCAAGTTATAAACAGAAACAATTAAAATGGTTTATCCTTACAGATCTTTGTCAGATTCGTTCCTTTTCTCGGCTCCATTCGTTCTTTCCTCCAAGAAAAGACGGCCGCTGTAATTATCTCTCTCGGGATGCGCTGTGGTAGAAATTTAAAATGGTTAACATGTTTACAGGCGGTCCTCGACGTACGATCACAACTGAGCCCCAAATTTTCTGCCGCTAAACAAAACGGTTGTTAAGTAAGTTTTTGCTCCATTTTACCACTTCTCCTGACACGGTTGTTAAGTGAATTGCTGCACTTGTCAAGTTAGCAACATGGTTATTAAGTGAATCTGGCTTCCCACCCCCTGATTTTGCTTCTCAGAAGCTTGCAAGAGGGAATCACACTGCAACCGTCATAAATGTGGACCAGCTGCCAAACATCCAAATTTTGGACCAGCTGCCAAACATCCAAATTTTGGACTAGCTGCCAATCACCCAAATATTGGACCAGCTGCCAAACATCCAAATTTTGGACCAGCTGCCAATCACCCAAATTTTGGACCAGCTGCCAATCACCCAAATATTGGACCAGCTGTCAATCACTCAAATATTGGACTAGCTGCCAATCACCCAAATATTGGACCAGCTGCCAAACATCCAAATTTTGGACCAGCTGCCAATCACCCAAATTTTGGACCAGCTGCCAAACATCCAAATTTTGGACCAGTTGCCCAAACATCCAAATTTTGGACCAGCTGCCCAAACACCCAAATTTTGATCACATAAACTTGGAGGATGCTACAACAGTCGTAAGTGTGAAGAATTGTCACTTTTTATGGCACCGTTGTAACTTGGATCCCTAACAAAACGGTTGTAAAGTTGAGGACTAGCTATCTTTGAATTTACAGAGAAGACCCTGGGGTCTTCAAACCACATTTTCACGACTGCAGCTCCAGAGGAATCCTTCATAAAAAAAACACAAAAAGAAACCACCTGCTTGTCTTTACAGCTGTGGCTGTTAAATCTGGATCATTCAAGGATATGCTTGCAAGTTCAGTCGGAAAAGATAACATTCATACGTCCGGCCAGCCAAAAAAGTTGGCAGTTTGGCTGTTTCTAATTTCTCCCTGAAAAGTTGGAGGCGTCTTTCGTTCGGGTACGGTTCTCGCCTTCGTTCCAGAGTGTTTGTTTGCACGCTTCAAAAACCAACACGATGCGCTATTTGTCCAGAGCTGACAAAATCAAGACTCGAAAAATATGAACAAACATATAATCAGCCGTGGCTTGTATCGCTTTGGAATCTCTTTAAAACAATTGACTTTTCTTCCAGAATGTTGGAAAGCAAGGAAAACTTCTACAGACTGCGAATGAGGTGGGGGAATTTCCACCCCTCCCTTTCTCTCTCCCTTCCAATGAATGATTTCCTTCAAGGAAAAAAAGAGAGAGGGAGAGAGAGAGAGAGAGAGGGATGGAGGGAGGTCTATGGAGCAACTCCTAACCTGGATTATTTGAGACTGATGTGAGCACATTGAAATGAGAGGTCGGTAGGAGTTTAATGGGTTTGCTGGTTTTCGCCTAGGGAAAAATATACCTTGCATAGATTTCTTATACAGGCAGTCCTTGACTTACAACCGTTCGTTTAGGGACCGTTTGAAGCTATAACTTGCAAGCGTCCTCATACTTATGACCATCGCAGCATTCCCACGTCACGTGATCAAATTCAGGCCCTTGGCAGTTAGCGTGTATTTACAACCGATGATACAACATCCTGAGTTCGCACGACCACCATTTGCAACCTTCCCAGACGGCTTCTGACAAGCAAAGTCGAGACAACTTGCTCGCTTAACAACTGTGCGATTCATTTAACCACTGTCAAGGTTTACTTAACAACCACAGCCAAAAAATGGCCATAAAACTGGGCCACGGCGCGCTTCACTGTCTTCTTGCTCGGCGATGGAAATTCTGGCTTCCGCTGCAGGTCGTAAATCGGGGATTGCTTGTCCTGAGTAAGGGGTTGGGCTGGATGATCTCGGAAATCCCTTTGCATACTGCGATTTGGTAAGAGAAGCAGCGTCTTTCTCTCTTCCCCATCCGTTCGATGAAAAGCACATTTCTTCTGCTGGGATTCAGCCCAACAAGAATGGCAATCAGGCTGAGAGGCAAAGATTCCCAGTTGTGCCGATGTCAGAAAAGAGACTGGGAGGAATGGGAGGGTGAGACGGGAGCCTGGCTAATCCCACACCAATCTCTGCTGATCCTTCAGGGCCCTCTCTCAAAGATTTAAGGATTAGCTGGGCCCTCAGCCTGTCCCCAGAGCTGCACAGACCAGCTTTTGAAGCTCTTAATGCAATTCCAAATCCGTTCAAAAGTAGCCACTGAATTGCAAAGTTGGATAGGAAAGGAAGTGAAAAATAACCCAAAAAGAGAAGTAATTATGATATTCACTCTCTTTCTTTGCTTATGTTTAGCACTGAATGCAGTCCAGGGAAAACGTCTGCTAAAAAAATGGGGGGGGGGAGGGAAAGATGCTTATGACATCATCATGGAAAATGATTGAAAACATCCCAACGGAAAGCATGAAAAAATCCCCAGCAATAAAAGGATCCACAACTCTCATCCGATAACCATGAGTGCATTATTTGTGAACCTCAGTGATTCTAAGATGTGTTGTTACTAGAAGAGGCACAACACTGTCCCAAAACAACAATATCCATAGAGCCTCACAACAGAGCAAGAATTCCCCATCTATATTCTAGGTATTTTGAGATTCTGCCTACCTAACTAGTATCTTTCTAGTACCAGTTGTATAAACATCAGCCTGGCAAAATCTTATTAATGGGACTTTTGGCTCTTTAGTTAAAAGCTTCCTGCTTCCCCTTCTGTTTTAACTCATTAAGAAGCTGAAGGGACGCGGTGGCTCGGTGGCTAAGACGCTGAGCTTGTCGATCGAAAGGGTCGGCAGTTCAGCAGTTCGAATCCCTAGTGCCGTATAATGGGGTGAGCTCCTGTTCCTTGTCCCAGCTTCCGCCAACCTAGCAGTTCGAAAGCAGGTAAAAAAAAATGCAAGTAGAAAAATAGGAACCACCTTTGATGGGAAGGGAACAGCGTTCCGTGCGCCTTTGGCATTGAGTCATGCCAGCCACATGACCACGGAGACGCCTTCGGACAGCGCTGGCTCTTCGGCTTTGAAACGGAGATGAGCACCGCCCCCTAGAGTCGGGAACGACTAGCACATAGGTGCGAGGGGAACTTTTACCTTTTTAAGAAGCTGCCTCTTCAGTTTTGTTTCCAAAGCCTGGTTTATCCCAAAACGAGGACCATGATTTGCCCCCAAACCCTGAAAACTGTTCACTTCCTTCAGCAGTCCTAGTTTTACCCGTAAATCAAGGGTTTAGGTGGGATTAAAGAGGGAGGGTGGGGGAACCAGGGTTTTTAGATGCTTCACACACGAATGAAATAAAACCGAAGGGCGAAAGCCATCAAGATGATTCTCTTGCTTTTCTCCCCTTCTCCCGCGGAGCCTTACGTGGATCTAATCAGGTTGTCATTGTCACCGTATCCCAACTATTCATTATGGTATCTTAGGCTCTGGAATGTGTACAGCAATAAGCACAATAAAGGGAAAGGTGAGAACTAATGAGGTGTCTTATTTAAAGACAGACAAGCGGGGATTTTCAGACCCCGTCTGCCAAACCATCAGAGAAGGTCTGAATTCCGAAGAAACAAAAATGTAAGTAATTCAACCCTCTTTAATTTATACTCCATTCCATTCTATCCATCCCTCTCTCTCCCTCGTTCCATCCTTCCATTTCTTCATCCATCCATCCATTGTTCCATCCATCCATCCATCCATCCATCCATCCATCCATCCGTCGTTCCATCCATCCGATACTTTCTAACCTTAGTCTAATTTGTAGTTTGAGAATATTTGTAGCTCAGGATTGATGTGAGGAGTCCTTGGTGCTCTCTAAGCTTGGCTGTTTTCTTGCAGATGTTTCACAACCCAAGCCAGGTAAAATCAACAATGCTGAGTAACGTCGAACACTGACGGTGTTACCTAATAGTTTGGGTCATGAAAGGCCTGTAAGAAAACAACCAAGCTCAGAGAGCACCAAGGACTCCTTACTTTCTAACCAAAGTTTCCACCTTGTCAAACAATCGCTTGAATCTTTAGTTAGCTCCTCAAAGTATTTTCTCTACTACCTCCTCTTATTGGTGGTGGTACTATTATTATTATTATTATTATTATTATTATTATTATTATTATTATTATTATCTGCAGATGTGCCACCTCCAAACACTAGCGCCAATGCAAACCCACACAAAATTGCCCTTCCCTTCAGGGATTTGCTCATACCCTCCCAGCTCCGCAACCTCACAAAAGCACACACGTAGACGGGGATTGCGTCCATCCCACACAGCCTATTAAACCAAACAAAAGGCAGATGCCAACAAACTGGAAACCAGCTTCGAACTAACATCATTTCCTTTCCCGCAACGCTTTCGGGTTAAATCAAAGTGTTGCTGAACATCTTCCTTCCATCTCATTCTTTGCAACGACGGCGACAACAACAACAAAAAAGATAATTTGTATAAAAATAGCACACGGCAGCGTCACAAGCCGATGAAGATCACGCGGAAGGTTTGCTTCAATCAAGGAGACGCCGAGTTTGTTGTGTTTTGGGGGGAACAGTAGAGCTTATTTATTTTGCCATGGGGGGGGGAAACAAGGCGAAAAAATTAACTACACTCAAATCACATTTTTTGGAGGCATCTCCTGGAGCCAGTCCAGAGAGAGTCAGAGATGGTGGTGCCCTACATCCTTCTGAGACGCCTTCGAACTGGAAGGGATCTGAGAGGTCTTCTAGTCCAACCCTTGCTTAAGGCCTTATTCTATCTTGAACATTGTCCAATCTTTTCTTGAAGACCTCCAGTGACGGAGCACTCACAACATCTGGAGGGAAGCATCCTAATCTTGTTCCAGTGTCTGTAGTAAGGGCAAAGATCAGTTGCAAGTCACTTTTTGTTCAGTGTTATTTGAACTTCAAAACAGTCTTTAACCAAATAGTTGAAGGTGGAGGAGTGCCGGCATATTTGAAAGCAGTTGTCTTGTGCTGGAATTTTTTTTCAACTTCCCAGTCTAGCTAATAGCCCTGGGATCTCTTTGTGGTCTCTCATCCAATGCTAAATATGCCTCATCCTGCTAAGCTTGTTGAGATCAGCCATAGTTTAGCTACCCCGTTTCCCCCCAAATAAGACATTCCCCTGATAATAAGCCCAATTGGGCTTTTGAGTGTATGGCAATAAGGCCAAGCGCTTATATCAGGGTTCAAAAAAATATAAGACAGGGTCTTATTTTCGGGGAAACACAGTAGATGTAACCGAAATCTGTTGAAAAGGTTTCTGTGATATCTAAGCCATTTCTGCAGAGCTCTCCATGGTGCTGGAACCCAAGTTTCTGCCTACAGAAACATAATATTTTTGGATACCGCTATCCCCTCTTCAAGTCTTTTATCCTTTAAAAAAAGAGATTTTTTTTAAAAAAATCAGGGTTTAAATTACAGCAGATGCAAGATCCAAAAAAGAAACCTTCTTGGGTCCATGGTTAACTTTTTGAGATTGGCCTACAGTCGTGGCCAAAATTGTGGAAACCTTTTGGGGAAAATGTATTTTCTAAAATTACCTAATAACACCACTTTTTTTTTTTTGAGTAGTAATACCATATATATATATCAATGGAAAGATAACTTAATCAAGAATGTAATGCAATAACTTTTATGAAGGATTTGCTATTAGAAGAGAGTTACCGTATAAAGAAGAAAAGTGAAACAGATAGAAAAAATGAGATATACAAAAAGGATCCCCATGTCAGTTAATATTTAGTTGGGTAACCTTTAGCATGAATGAAGGACTTACAACACCTTCCCGTGGAGTGAATCAAGTCTTTTAGTTCTGCAGCTGTTCTGATGTGAAACCAAGATTGAATGATGAATTGATCTTAAGGCACGTTTTTTTCAGTGCCGTTCTAACTTCAAATGGTCACTGAACGGGAGGCTGTAAGTCATCCCTGTCTTATATTTTTTTTGAACCCTGAAATAAGTGCTTGGCCTTATTTTCAGGGAGGTCTTATTATTTTAGGGCGCATGGAGCAAGACGGGGCTCCTCTTGCCATCTTACCTGATTTCCATCTCTGTCTCCCTAACCCTAACCAGAGGAAATGGAGGGGACCAGCTGTGCATGTGTTTATTTTTGGGGAGGGCTTATTTTTAGGGAGGCCTTATTTTAGGAGAAACAGGGTACATAACTCTGGAATTCCCATCCCATCATTCAACAGACCCGATCCGGCTTAGCTTTAACAGCATCCCCCAAACAAGACACGCCTACAGAGTTTCTACTTTGTGGTCCAGAAAATGGGGAAAGGAAAAAAAAAAAAGACTCTTAAAAGTCATCCAAAGTCAAGTCGAATAGCTGTTGCTTTTATCCTTCAGCAGCAAGGCTGCCCCTTTGATGAAGAAGAAGGGGGGAGAAAAGCCCACAAAAAAACTCCAGGCTTCCTAAGGTTTTCTCTTGGGATGTTAATTACATTCTCTGTTCTCGCAGCTTGAGAATTTTCCCCCCCATCTTCCTTCCAAGAGCCGTTGTATAGATTGCAACCTTGATTAAAATTCTGGAAGATCCGTTTTTATTAGTCTCTGAACTCCAAGCTGGTTTATGTAGGCCTCAATCTTGGCTTGTTCGGCTTCCACAGAGGTTCTTGCAGCCGAAACAAACTGGCTAGGATAAAAACAACACACACACACACACACACACACACACAGAGAGAGAGAGAGAGAGAGAGAGAGAGAGAGAGAGAGAGAGAGAGACGCAAAATCTCCCAAATGAATCATCGTATTTGGACAGCTTAATTTGGTCAGGGAGGTTGGGGGAGAGAGAGAGACAGAGAGAGAGACGGAGAAAGAGAGAGAGATGGAGAAAGGGAGGGAGGGAGAGAAAGAGAGAGAGCTGGAGACAGAGAAAGAAAGAGAGAGAGAGAGAGAGAGAAAGAGAAAGAGAAAGAGAGAGAGAGAGAGAGAAAGAGAGACAGAGAAAGAGAGATGGAGAAAGAGACAAAGAGAGATGGAGAAAGAAAGGGAGAGAGAGGGAGGGAGAGACAGAGAAAGAGAGATACAGAGAAAGAGACAGGTGGAGAAAGAGAGAGAGAGGCAGAGAAAAAAGACAAGAGACAGAGAGACAGAGAGAGGTGGAGAAAGAGAGAGAGAGAGGGAGGGAGAGGGAGAGAGATGGAGAAAGGGAGGGAGAGGAAGGGAGAGACAGAGAAAGAGAGGTACGTAGAAAGAGAGAGAGAGGTGGAAAAAGAGAGAGAGAGAAACGCAAAACCTCCCAAATGAATCATCGTATTTGGACAGCTTAATTTGGCCAGGCAGGTTGGGGGGTGGGGGAGAGAGAGATGGAAAAAGAAAGAGACGAAGAAAGAGAGAGAGAGAGACAGAGAGAGACGGAGAAAGAAAGGGAGAGAGAGGGAGGGAGAGACAGAGAAAGAGAGATAAGGAGAAAGAGAGAGAGAGGCAGAGAAAAAAAAGAGATGAGCCTCAACAAACATCCCACCCAAAAAACCCCTTGCAAAGGCGATCAAATTTTTCGAGTTCAAAAGGGGAAATTAATTTCGCAGCAGGAAGCAAGGAAGAGCCACAGACACAAATATTGCTTCATTCTACAATCTCGCCTGGCATACGTTGCAGGTCAAGTTCTCCGAAGGATCTTCTCTCAGGTTTTTTGAACCATAAAATAATCTTACTGATGGAGACTGGAATTCACACACTCCTCCCTCTTTCTCCCCCCCTACTCTCTCTCTCTCTCTCTCCCCCTCTCTCTCTTTGTCTGCCTCTCTCTGTCTCTCTGTCTCTGTACATTTTATTCCATATTTCATAATAGTCCGAATCCTCTCTCCCTTTTAACTCTATAGTCATTTTATCCATCTCTGCGCATTCTAGAATTTTCCTAATTACAGTTTAATCTGACAGTATATTTTTTTGATTCCAATTTTTTGCAAATGTGATTCTTGCTGCAGTAAGTATGTGCAATATAATGTATTGAAGGTTTTTATTCATTTTCAGGTCCGGTATTCCTAATAAAAACAATTCAGGTTTCAAATCTATTTTTTGCTTTGTAATTTCTTCCAACCATTTTTGAATTTGACACCAATACTTCCTTGTGATGGGGCACGTCCACCACATATGGTAGAATGTTCCGGATTTATAGTTACATCTCCCCAGGGGTGAAATCTACTTACCTTCCCTACCAGTTCGGAAGTGTGCATGCAGGAAGTAACGATGTCTGGGAGGGTGGGCGGAGCCTCGTGCTGTCGCCGCTACCAGTTCGCCGAACCAAACACCACCGCTGCTACCACTTTGCCCGAACTGGAGCAAACTGGTAGCATTTTACCCCTGCTTTCACCATTTGTCGCATTATTATTAGCTCTCTCTTTTTTTTCTGAAGAAAGTTTCCTTCAAAAAAATAAATAAATACACTCGTTTCTTCGGAAACTTTCTTCCATTGTCTTCCCACATCTCTAGAATCTGAGTATTGGCATATATAATCCATTAAGCTTCACTTTTCATCTGAGGCTGGTGTTTTTTTCAAAAAAAATAAAATAAAACCAAGCTTCTGGCTCTCTCTGATTACCATGATGTGCTTGAAGGAAAGAAAAAGGGGGAACAGCCATCACTAGCAAGAAATATCTGTCAAAATGGGAGGGAAGGGGAAGGGAGTAGAAAAGCCCATGATGCCTTGCCTGATTTCCCTAACCGACGCAAAAATATGGTATCAGCGGGACTCAGGATAACAAACTTTTTCAGCGGGGCTTTGAAAAATGCTTTTTCCAGAGCGATGTGAGCGTTGCTTAAAGGAAGCAGAATTTTGGGGAAGGGGTCAAACCCCCTACCCCACCCCCAAGGTAGACCAAACCAGATCAGGATATATAGGTAACATCATCAGTGCTAGAAGGGAGGGGGAGGGGGAGGAGGACTGTGGGGTCCTTGGTGCTCTCTGAGCTTGGTGGTTTTCTTACAGATATTTCATTACCCAACTAGGGAACATCATCAGTGCTAGAAGGGGGTGGGGTTTCCTTCAGTACTGACCGGCGATCTGACAGTGTTTATTTTCCGACAGATGAAGTTCCCCAACCACCTCTCCTGCCTTCTCCTGCTGAGTTTTGGGACCTCTCTCCCTGCCGCCGACCTCCAAGCCCCAAAACACCCTGGAGAAGAATTCCAAGGGCTCCCAAATGAACCAGGCTTTGGGGAGGACGGAGGTGTGAAGTGGCGGCGTTCGCCCGTCGATCTGAACCCCCTTTTCAGCATCGCCAAAGAGCTTCAGAGCTTCGGGAAAGAGAAAGCGGGGATCCAATTCCGATTTGGGAGGCAGGACACGGACGAGAATCTCAACGCCGTCACGGATCTACTGAAAGAAGACGGTGAGAAAGAAGCCAAAAATTTGGGGACCCTCACAGAACGACGGAATGGCTACTACGATGGGAAGATCTGGTTTGGGAGGCGGAAACGAGAAGTGCTTCGTGCCAAAGGTAGCTTTCCTGGAGCTCCAAAGCTGACAGGATCCATTTGATGTGATCCTGTACACAATCCATTTGCAATGCTTGATGTGCTCCTAAATCCGTCGCCCATTTCTCAACCTCTCCGCAGTCTCCAGGGATCTGAAAGTTTCCAATTGGTTCTTTCTTGTTTCTTAACCTCTCCTCTCCAAAATGAAGTTGGTGTCATATCTAAAGGGGTGTCACCAAGAAGAGGGGGTCCACCTGTTCTCCAAAGAACCTGAAGGCAGGACAAGAAGCCACGGGTGGAAACTAATCGAAGAGAGAAGCAACCTAGAACTAAGGAGAACTTTTCAAATTTCCTAACAGTGATAACAATTGCTCAGTGGAACCGCTTGCCACCAGAAGTTGTGAGTACTCCATCACTGGAGGTTTGCAAGAAGAGACTGGACAACCATTTGTCTGAAATGTTGTAGGGTCTCCTGCTTGAGTGGAGGGTTGGACTAGAAGACCTCCAAGGTCCCTTCCAACTCTGATATCCTGTTATTCAGAAGAGCATGAGATAGATCCAAGCTAACTGCCACCAATCAATTTTTCTCCAGTTCCTTTGAAAGACCCAAGGCCATTTGGACCATCCAAGGTGGACTTTTGCTTGCCAGGTGCTGTACTTGGTGGGAGACAATGCAGCAGCACCTGCCATTTTCACCTCTTCAGATCCACCCCCCCAGCACAACTGTGGATCTTCCAGATGTGCAGTAGAATGCATCCTTCAGTAGTCCCACCAGGAGTTGCAATCTTCCACATCTGGAAGACAGATGGAGGAAATGCGTGCCCTGAATCCTTCACCGTGCTGCTTTACAGCTCTGCAGCAGATGTGCTTCCCAAAGGGGAAAAAAAGCATTTGAGATCAAACATCTGTAGCACCAGCCAAAACTGCCTTATATCTTCTTGTTTTTTCCCTTTTCACGTTGTACACACACACAGTTGTCCTCAAGTACAAAAATAAGAATTGGATTACCTTGGAAGGAAGGCAGGACAAGAGGATGGAAACTAAACAAGGAGAGAAACAACCTGGAATTCAGGAGAAACTTCCTAACAGCGAGGACAACTAACCGGTGGAACAGCTTGCCACCAGAAGTTGTGGGTGCTCCATCACTGAAGGTTTTTTAAGACAGTCACTTCTCTGAAATGGTATAGGGCAGTGATGGCTAACCTTTTTGCTGCCGCATGCCAGAAGTGGGGGGAGCACGGGGGGGGTTGCGTGCCAGCGTGCCTACACCCATAATTCAATGCCCCCCTGCACCCCACCCACCCCCTGCGCATGCATGCATGCCCCCTCCACACTCTCCCCACTTTTGGTATGCGGCGGCAAAAAGGTTACTGGTGGGCCCGGTAGGTCCATTTTTCGCCCTCTCCAGGCTCCAGAGGCTTTCTTGGAGCCTGGGGAGGGCGAAAACAGCCTTCCCCATCTCCCCGGAGGCCCTCCGGAAGCCGGAAATGGCCCGTTTCCTGACTTCTGGTGGGCCCGAAAGGCCCGAAAATCTGCTGGCTGGCACACGTGTGCATGCAGGAGCTGAGCTAGGGCAACGCTGGCGTGCCCACAGATACGACTCCGTGTACCACCTGTGGCACGCGTGCCATAGGTTTGCCATCATGGGTATAGAGTCTTCTGCTTGAACGGGGGTTGGACTAGAAGACCTCCAAGGTCCCTTCCAACCCTATTATTTTATGTTTGATGTTCTATCACAGGAAGCTTTTTCGACGGCCTGACCAATTTGGTGGACGTAGTCTCTTTTATTCAAGGTGAACGAAATCTGATTAGTTTCAGCCGCTTTCCCGTTTTCCAACATTTCGCTTATATTAAAAGAAGAAAAGAAAAAAAAAACGGAAAAACCTGCAAACTCCTTGCACTTTTTGCATTTTTTCCCATATTTTGGACACATTTCCCCCAACCTCAGCTCTGTTTCTATTTTTCATTTTGGCCAGCTTGCTTTTTTTTAAAGAGCGGTTTGCTTAGCAAGCATCTTCCTATAAAATAAACCTTTTTTTCCCTGCATTCTTTGCCCGGGTAAACATGCATTGGGTTGCATATGTGTTTTTCTAATATATGCACTCGGAGGCAAAATTTATTGAACGGCTTAGCAACGTTCTCCAAAGCGAGAGCGGCCAAGAACCACCGCGTTTTTTGATTTTTAGGTCAGTCTTTAGAAATATCAGCTTGGTAAATTGGCATTCTGTGTGAATCCAATGAATTAATTCCAAGATCATTCAAATTAATTTCCTCCTTCTCAACCTTTCCCCATGCTTGCAAGACCCATCCCCCAGAACTCTCTGCATATATATACATATATAAATATATATATATATGAGAGCAAAATAGCTTGAAATAGATCTATACTAGTCTCCCTTTATTTCTTTATCAGCGAAATATAAATTTTATCTATCTATCTATCTATCTATCTATCTATCTATCTATCTATCTAATGTATAAAAAGTAAAAGTTCCCATTGCACATATGTGTTAGTTGTTCCCGACTATAGGGGGCGGTGCTCATCTCCGTTTCAAAGCCGAAGAGCCAGCGCTGTCCGAAGACGTCTCCTTGGTCATGTGGCCGGCATGACTCAATGCCAAAGGCTCACGGAACGCTGTTACCTTCCCACCAAAGGTGGTCCCTATTTTTCTACTTGCATTTTTTTTACGTGCTTTCGAACTGCTAGGTTGGCAGAAACTGGGACAAGAAACGGGAGCTCACCCCGTTATGCAACACTAGGGATTCGAACCGCTGAACTGCCGACCTTTCACGTATGTTCCTCTTGGCTTCTAGGTGCTTGTTAAGAAAGGATTTTTTGAAATGACCATCAGATCATTAGTATTTCTTATATTATTATTAACACACTCTGATGTTAAGGAGTTAGACATTCTACTCCCCCTCCCCATCTGAAAAGAACTCTGTTCCAACTGCCAATTGGCCAGGGTGTGATTCATCCAGCCTGCGGGCTGGGAGTTTAGACATTCTACTCCCTACCTGAAAGGGAGGGAAGGGGATAAGATAGGAGAGGTCTCTATGGGGCAAGCCTGAAGGAAAGAAGGGGATAGGAGAGGATCAATGGGGCTAGCCTGAGGGAGAGAAGGAGGATAGGATAGGAGATGTTTCTGTGGGGCAAGGCTGAGGGAGAGAAGGGGAGAGGAGAGGCCGATCGTAACTACTCATTAATTTTCAAACTGTAAGTATTGATTTATCAAGCTCAGCTCTAAGTGTCGATTTATCAAGTTAATATTTATAGATATATATTAACCTTTTTGCTATACTCCAAAAGTAAGAGAAATAAAAGCAGGATACGATCGTTATCCAGGGAAGGAAATCAATGCATACAATTTCCAGACCTAGAGGCTTCTCTGTGCCGCAAATGATGAAGAAGGTTCTTTTTTTTTTACGAAATCAGTATTATTTTTTCTGGCTCGTGAGGAGGAAGGAGGAATTGTCAAGAGGTGAAGTCGCCCAGCTGGGGAGTCCTTTGAGCCCACCCCACCCCACCCACCCACCCCGCTGAAGAAATGAAATTATACTCTTGATCTCGTGACTGTCAACGCTTAAGTTGTGGCTGAAGGCACGTCGGCATTAATGCACAGGCGAAAGGAAAAGTGGTGGGGGGTTTTTTCCACCCCTGATGGTGGGATGCACTTTTCTAGCATTATTCTGGATGTGAGTAACTGGTGTTAGCCTTGCAAAACAACTGCCTTTTCAATGCTTCTCTGCAGGCGATGCCAAGGGAGGGGGTGGGGTGTTGCCCACTCCTGTCTCTGCTTGTCAAGGCTGGCCGGGGCTTTAAAACAGCCACTGGAGTCCACTAGCTATCCATCAAAGTATCGCTTTTAATGGACTAGAGCTCTCAGGGGTCTATTTTTAGTCCAGTTGCAAAATTCTCCCTGCCTGGCTTCATTCTCTTAGAATATAAAATAATGGAAGGTACCCCCAGAGATCTTCTAGTCTAACCCACTACTCAAGCAGGAAACCGTATACCTGTTGTGGCCTGCCAGTGGATCTGGCTGCAGATTCGGACAGTGGGGAGGTTGGGGAAGGAACCTGGGCCAGTCCTGGAGTCTGGGGAAGGCTCTGATGAAGGCTCTGCGTCGGAGGCAGAGAGAGGGCCAAGGACCGTCTGACAGTTATCAGCTGCCTTCGGAGTCAGACATCAGTGAGGCAGACAAACAGCTGGAGCCTGTTCCCAGTGTGCGCATGCACAGAGTTGCCAGACGAAGGGAGCAGCTAAAGAACAAGGGTCAACTTGGGAGTAAGGCCACAGGTGGATGATGAAGGGCCCTGCCTAGAGGGAATAAAAGAGGAGCAAAAGGGGAGTGGAGTTTGCAGGAGACAATTAGTTCATTCCTGCATTCTTGCCAAGTATTGCAGGTGTCTGAAAGATATCGGCCTGGCCACTCTCCAAGCCTGATGAAGGCCGGTCATTGTGAATGATCTTGAAAGACTGTGGGAGAGGTTTTAGATGGGATCTCTCCTTGATGAGTTTCCATCCATTGCTCCTTGTTCTGTCTTCAGGTGCTTTGGGGAATAGTTGACGCCCTCTTCTCTGTGAGAACCCCTCAAATATTGGAAGATGCTATCATGTCCCCCCAATACTTTCTTTTATTATGCCACATGGAACAATTTCTCCAACCATTCATCCTACAATTTAGCCTCCAGAGACCCCTAGTCAAACTTTCTTTGTCACATGTTTTGGTGACAACCAGAAATAGGCATGCTATCCGAATCACAATTCACGGCTCTCCAAATCAGATAACCCCTAATTTTTTCTTCCTCCATAGGGATGCAGTGGCTCACTGGCTAAGATGCCGAGCTTGTTGATCGAAAGGTCGGCAGTTCAGCGGTTCGAATCCCTAGTGCCGCGTAACGGGGTGAGCTCCCGTTCCTTGTCCCAGCTTCTGCCAACCTAGCAGTTCGAAAGCACGTAAAAAAAATGCAAGTAGAAAAATAGGGACCACCTTTGGTGGGAAGGTAGCAGCGTTCCGTGCGCCTTTGGCGTTGAGTCATGCCGGCCACATGACCATGGAGACGTCTTCGGACAGCGCTGGCTCTTCGGCTTTGAAACAGAGATGAGCACCGCCCCCTAGAGTCAGGAACGACTAGCATGTATGTGCAAGGGGAACTTTTACCTTTACCTTTAATCCTTCCTCCAGACCATGGAATAAGCATCAAAGTGCAATTTTAAAATCTGATCCTTCCGTCTTTTAGAATTTTGCAGCCATTTATAACTTTTGCAGTGTTGGAAACTGGAAAAGTGGCTGAAAGCTAATCACTTAAAATTCCCTCTGGAGAAGGCGCAAAGACAAAAATTGTGAAGAACAGGAACTGTTGACTAAGAAAACAGGCGGGAACGATGGAGTGATTAGAAATTTGATAATTTGCTGCCCCAAACTGGGTTAGATTCTAAAAGGGATACCATCTGTCACCCACCCTTTCGTCCAAAGGAGCTAATCCAGTCCCAGCTTTGTAAATTCAGCAGATCTGAAGATTGCAAGAGGTTCGACGATTTCATTACAGAAAGCACACTTTCCTGAAACGTTATTAAAGCTTTTGTCGAAGAGAGAGAAACCGACGAGCAATTTTTTATGTCGTCTCCCATCCTGGGAATGCAGGGCTGTCACATTGCATTCGACTTTGAACACCTAGTTTGGGGGAGGGGGGTGAGGTTAGATTTGAACTGCTGTCCCAATTTAGGCCACTAATAACAGAGAGATGAAAAGGCTAAATTTTGCAGAGAAGGCGCGAAACCCAGCTGGGTAACTTTGGGCCGATCTCCAGGTGACAGTAAGTTCTAGTCCTGCCTTAGGCACGAAAGCCAACTGGGTAAATTCTGGGCCAATCACCAGGCAATGGTGAGTTCTAGTCCTGCCTTAGGCACGAAAGCTGGCTGGGTGACTTTGGCCCTATCACCAGGCAATGGTGAGTTCTAGTTCTGCCTTATGCATGAAAGCCAATTGAATGACTTTGGGCCAATCACCAGGAGATGGTGAGTTCTAGTCCTGCCTTAGGCACGAAAGCCAACTGGGTAACTTTGGGCCGATCACCAGGAGACGGTGAGTTCTAGTCCTGCCTTAGGCACGAAAGCCAACTGGGTAAATTCTGGGCCAATCACCAGGCGACAGTGAGTTCTAGTCCTGCCTTAGGCATGAAAGCTGGCTGGGTGACTTTGGGCCAGTCCCTCTCTCTCTCAGCCCAGCCCTCCTCACAGGGTTGTTATTGCGAGGAAAATAGGAGGAGGAAGGAGTATTAGGTATGTTCATCGCTTTGAATTACCCTATAAAGTAATAAAGGTAGGATAAAAATCTAATAAATAACAAACAAACAAAAAGCAAGCAACACAGGCAGGTAAACCCACAAGTGCATCCGTGAAAGGGATAATGAAAAAAGAAAGCTTTAAGAACTTTCAAAATAAGGCTTGTTGCCGGTAATTGAATTTGCAAATGCCAAACTTGAGCTGGGTAAAGTGGTGGGGTTTGCAAATTCAGCGCTATTTGTGTGTGGGTTTTTTGGGTAGGGGGGCAAATCAGCATTATTTGGACTCCCCTTCATTTCTCTCCTTAGAAGTCCACTGGGAGAGATAGAGGCCAGGCATGACTGACTCTCTATTTGGTTCCCTAACATTATTTTAATTAAAAAAAAAAAAGAAATAGTTAAGAGAGGGATAGATAAAAAGACACAAGAGGAAAGGAAACCTCGCCATTAAACTGATTTTTTTTTTTGGATTAACCCATCTTCCGAGTCGCACAATAAGCCGGTCGATAAATCTAAACAAGAAGGCTGGATTTGCACAACGCACAAGCTACCATTAAACCACGGTTAGCGTGTCATGCTGATTTGCATTGCGTTAAGTTACAGGCCTGATGCTGGCTTCCTGCACTGGAAACACAAAACGTAATTAAAGTCTTTCTTTCTTGCTAGGTACCTAAGTTTAGTTTCGTGAATGAATTAAAACCAGCATATTAGACACAGGGATGGGATAACTGTGATTGCCCGGGATGTAGAAATTCAGCCATCGTTTCAGCGGGGGACAGGAAACCAGGTTTGTTCACTGAAGTCCGCATTGACAAGAGGAGGGTCCCAGGAAATGTTAAAAGTGGCCACCCGGTTGTAAGGTTTAGAAACTCGGAGAAGAACAAAGTCTGAAGACATGGGATGGGAGTGGTGATTGAATGTTAAGGCAATCTAAATGCCAGTTAAGGATGGATCAGTCAGGATTCAGGCCCCACCTATTCTATTAGGACCCCCCAGAAAAAGGGGAGGAAGAGAAGGAGGAGGAGAGAAAAGGGAGGAAAAAGTGGAGAAGGAGGAGGGGAAGGAGGATCAGGAGAAGGAAAAGGGAGTGGAGGAGGAGAAGGAAGGAGGAGAGAGAGAAGAAAGGAAGGAGGAGAGGGAGGAGAGAGAGGGGGGAAGGGAGGGGAAGAAGGGGAGGGAGGAGAGAAAAGGGAGGAGAAGGAGGGAGGAAGAGGAAGAAGAAGAGGAAGAAGTAGTAGTAGTTTATTTTCCCAAACCACAAAGCAGCAAAGCTACCGAGGGACAACCTGTCCATAACGCAGGACCAGTTTTGAAAAGGCAGAAACATCTTTACAGGCAGTGCTGCAGCCTCAGTTTCCCTCTCTTGCCCAGCTTCAAAGAATTACTTCTTGCACCAAGTCAGCTGGAATGGCAAAGCTGCAGGAAACTTTTATCGACTTTCTGCCCCCCATACACCCCCACCCCCCAGTGTTCAGAGCCTTCATAAATATTCGCCCTGTCAATTTTCTATCCAGCCGAGACCAACAGATGTTTGCAAACTGGACTCGGTTCGAAAAAGAAACGGGCTAATTGGCCGGCTTCAAATCTCCAGCTGACTTCTCTTAGCCGTGGCCAGAGGAGCGCAATAAACAAAGATTTTGCCTAGATTCATGGAGCCCTGGTTTAATTAAGCTTCCCTGGGGCTTGGGGGGAGGGGGGTGGGGGGGGGAGAGAAAATGGAACTGGAGTCCTTGCTTTGAGCCAGGAATGAAGCAGACATTGCCCGAAAACCATGATTTCTTAATCAATGGGCAAGTATTGAAAGCGTAACGTCTCCTCATCTAAGATTGGTGCTTGTCTTGATCAGAACTTCCCATCTGGAGATGGGAAATATTTCAGTGGTTTTGGGCTTTTGCTGGCTCGTGGGGGAACGAGTGAGCGGGAAATATGAATTTTGAAAGGGTGGGTGAGTTAGCATTCGGTCCCACCCATTCTATTAGACAGGACTGTGGGAGGAGGGGGAGGAGGAGAAGGGGAGGGGAGGGGAGGGGAGGAAAAGAGAAGGGAAGGGAGGGGAGAGGAGAGAGAAGAGAGGAAGAGAAGACGAGACGAGACAGGAAAGAGAAAAAGAGGAGAGGAGAGGAGAGGAGAGGGGAAGAGGAGAGAGAAGAGAAGAGAAGAGAAGAGAAGAGAAGAGAAGAGAAGAGAAGAGAAGAGAAGGAGAGGAAAGAGAGAGAGGAGGGGAGAGGAGAAAGGAGAGAAGGAGAAGGAAAAAGAAGGAAGAAAGAATGCCCCCCCCCCATCATGTACCCGTCCCTCAGTCCTTCTCTTCATTAGACTAGACTACAACCAGCTCCAACTGTTCCTCGTAGAGTTTATGATCCTTTGGCCTCTTTGTTACGCTCACGTACAACTTCCCAACCGTATCACAGTCTGCAGACCTAGGATTAACTATGCCCTTGTTAATCTGGGGTTTAGTTTTTCTCTAAACAGCGTTTGTAGATGGCTCCCACGCCTCTGCCAACTCTAGGCTTCAGCAAAGTTTTTAAAATTGTCATCAATTCACTTCACCCTTGACAAACGCCAGGTTACCAATCCGTGGCCCCGACGTGGCTCAGTCTGAATGCAAGAAAGGCAGCTTGTTACGGAGGCCTTTTCTCTCCTTTTCTTGAACGTCAATTTATTTTAAAAAAAAACAAAAAACACAAAGACTAAGAAATAAACCATCTGGGATCTTTCGAAAGAACGCACGTAAAGTGGTCGTAGTGGAGGAAGAGGAGGAAAATGGGTGAAACGATCTCTTAAAAAGGTCCTGGATTGGACAAACATAAGCTAGAAGACGAAGAAGAGGGGAGGGGGCAAGGAAATAAACCCCCTCCTCTGCTGAGTATTATAGAAATTAAGAATTAAAAAGCGGCAGCTACTTTACACACCGGAAGGCAGGGCTTACAAAAGGCGTTAATACTGAGATATGCAGAGAGTGTATATTACAGCGAGAGATTATTCACAAGAAGTCTTTCTACCCTCTGGAAATATCCAACCTTCGCTGAATTTGGGGGGCAGCTCCCCCTTCACCTCCATTCTTTCAAAGATTAAAATCACAGTTTCGTTCCTCCCCGCCCCACCTCCCCGTTGGTCTGGCCACGACACACAAGGGCAGCCTGGTAAACTGAGTATTTGTCGCCACCACTTGCGGGGAAAAAAAAATAATAATTAAAAAGGTTTTTCGGGTGGAGATGCTTGGCGCAAGGGAGGCAGTGAATCGAACGTCCCAAATTTGTTTCGAATGACAAAGCTCCCCCTCCGATCTCACCCCTCCAAGGTTTCCCTGCTCCCACATTTTTATGGTTTCGCTACAGGAGGCTGACCACATCCCAGGAGTGCAGAAGGATTTCCTGTCGGGCCAACGGAGTGAATCATGCAGAGAAGCAACGGGTGACCTCTTGGTTTGTGCGTGGACTCAAGCAGAGTGACACAGGGCAACCTCCCTTCCAAAATGAAAAAAGAAAAGAAAGGAAAGAGATGTGCAAATTCCCCGATGACCCAAATTGGTACAAGCTTGGCTTTGGGTGGAAGCTTTAATTGCCTCTCCTGTCTCCCAAAGCAACTGAGGCGACCTCTTGAAAAAAAAAAGGGGAGTGAGGGACGGGATTGAAATTGTTTATGTAGTCATTCCTTTATCCGAGGGTGGGGGGTGGGGTGGGGTTTGTCAGACGGAGAGGGCAGTTGCTTTGGTTGGTCCTCGTAAGAGCCCTGCCTAATTTCAAACCGAAGTCTGCAGTGGACAGGAGGGAGACAGAAAGGTTAAGAGAGAAAATGGGGTTGTGAGAACGCACCCGGGTGTGTTTAGAAGGAGTGGTAGAACCAAGGGGGGTGGAGTGAAAAGAGGCATCAGCCTAGAATCCCTATGCACGAAGGCCAACCTGCCTTGAATTCCGTTGACTCCTACTGAACTCCTAGCAGATGCCGAGAAGATTCCTGCGCGTGGGCTTTTAGCAACAGAGTAGCTTAACTGAACCTTCACGTACGAACCTGATCGTCCGCACCTGACAAAATGTGCAATGAGGGCGAAGGGAAGCAACCCAGAGAGATCCCAGCAATCAATTGGGTCTAGACAAGCGGTGCCCCCAGAGGCCTCACTTTCAACGCAAAGCTCACACTGAAAGCAAGCAAAGCGTTAGTCGGAACGTCCCAAAGGATGCGACGTTCAGGCCAGTTAAGCTTCACAAGATTTTTGGACGTCCCCAAGTTAAGAAGCAAACTGAGGGAAATTCCAGATGAGAAAGATGGATTGGGGGGTGGGCAGGTGTATGGGGAGGGGTGGTTGTGAGGAGCAATGGATGAGCATATCCTGAGGGTGAGAGCAATCCAAGCAACACAACACCTGGAAGGCTCGAAGTTGACAGTTTTGGATACCTCCAGAGGACAACTAAGATACAATCCACATGGCTAAGTCTGTGCGTTGTCTCTCTGAAATGTGAGGTCCATTGTTTTGTCCCGGAAACCAAAATGTCTTGGGTCGGCTCCATCTAACGTGGGCCACCGATGATCTCTCCACTTCTGCTACCTTTGGACAATGTCGCTGATTTCTTTGACCGAGCCGAGCAACTTGCTAAAATCTGGGGTAGTGGCCGGACCTCCACCAACTGTGGCAGGGCAGATCTGAAGCTCCCGGAGGCTGTTCTCCAGTTTGTTGATGGCCTCTCGGAAAGCAAACTTATTCCGCATCTGCTGGATCGAGTCCACGTAGCTGACGCAGAAGGTGTACAGGTTCTTGCCCGCTTCCAGGACAGCACTATGGCTGACCATCTGCTCTGAGTTCTTGTTGATAGCGGTCCGCAGGGCGTCGGAGCTCTCCAGGACTGTTCCCTTCGTGACGGTGCCGCTCGCTATCTTCTCGGGTGGTTGGCGGGTCTTCCTCAGGGACACCCGGGTGGAAATAAGGGGGATGAAGGCTGTGGAGACCGGTTGGTCTGCAGCAGCCAGAGCTGACGAGACGGTGGGGGGCGACGGAGAAGGGGAACCAAAGAGCAGTTTGGCGGATGAGGGAGACTTCGGTACGGTGGACATCAGCAGCTTTTTGCTTCCCTCGGTGGACTTGGGAGTCTCAGCATTGACGGGCTCCACGGCCACTACTGTCTGCTTGCTCTTGGCCAGGGACCCTTCTGGTCCTTCGTGGCTGGGCCCAAGACCCCCCTTGCTATTTTTACCCAAGTTCAAGACCGGAGGAGGCGGGGCAGGTTTGAGCTTCGACAGCTTCCCTTTTTCCTTCTCTGGAGCCGGCTTCATCTTTCGTAGACGGGACTCCTCGCCCAGGATTTTGCCAGAAAAGATGCCCAGGGTGGCTTTGGCCACTGTGGTTTGCTCAACCGATGGACCCCCAGGAGCAGAAGGAAGCAAAGGCTGCCTCCGACTGAGTTTAGGGGTGAGGGTGGGCTGGCTGGAGCCTGTGATACACTCAGTTTCTTTGGAAGTCTCTTCCAGTGTCTCCTCATTCTTTTTCAGCAGCCGAGGCCCTGCAGTGATCATTCCCCTGCTGACCAGGTCAGCCTTCACCTCACTGGCTCGCTTTCGAGGCAGGGCGGGCTTTTCACTCTTGTGGCCCCCAAAGGTGGACGAGTCAAACTGGTGCCCCATGGATTGTGGGTTCCGAGGGAGGGTGACTGATTTCCACTCAGTGTCCCTGCCCCCGTGGGGAACGCAAGAGGCAGAGCAGGAACGCAAGAAACGCTTGCCGGAGATCGAGCCGCCATCCTCTTCGTTGGGACCCAGGCGATTATTGGCCGAGGACCCCGATTTTTTCCAAACGTTTGGCGTCAACAAACTGGAGCTCCCAGTCCCATTGGCGACGCCAGCTGTCTCATTGCTGGGGTTGGGGAACCTGGAACGTTCCTCTAAATCAGCAGGATGTGCGAGCAAACCCCCGTTGTTGCCATCTTTGGTCTCGTCCTCCCCTCCTCCTTTATGCTCCAGGTGTCCCTCCACTTCCCGGAAGGAACTACTCCGCTTTGGAGGGGTGGGCGCCGTTTTCTTTTTCTTCTTGATCAGAGCACTAAAAAGGTTGGTCTTTTTGTCTTTGGGGAGCAACCGGTCGTCTTCGTTTAAACTCCCATCGGCTGCAGTCCTTTCCTTCCGTGGCAGTACAGGGGATACAGCCGGTTCGTGCTCTGTAGATTCTGCAAAAATAAAAACAGATTTTTGACACAAGGTGCGAAACACACCGGGAGGAGACATCAAGTGGGGCGTTAGCCTTGAATCATGGCATAGTCATAAAAGATCCAGAACTGACCCCCTCTAAGTTCCATGGAAACTTATCTATCTATTCCCAGGAGGAATTACAATCAGCTTGGGAAGATTCCTGCACAGGTAGTCCTCAACCTACGACCACAATTGAGCTCAGAATTTCCATTGCTCCATTTGGCGACCTTTCACTCCATAGTGAATCACTGCAGTTGCTAAGTTAGTGACTCGGTTGTTAAGTGAATCTGGCATCCCCCTTGACTTTGCTGGTCAGAAGATGATCACATGACCCCGGGACACTGCAACCGTCATAAATATGAGTTGGTTGCCCAACATATGAATTTTTAATCATGTGATTATGATTGCAACGATTGTTAAGTGTGGAAAATGGTCATGTCATTTTTTTCCCAGTGTCGTCGTAACTTTTGGTCACTAAGTGAACGATTGTAAGTTGAGGTCTCCTTGTATTATAGGCAGAATACACTAAAATAGTGAACTTTTATTCAGATTAACAGAGTTGGAAGGGACCTCATAGGTCATCTAGTCCTCCCGTCCAAGCAGGAGACCCTACACCAGTGATGGCTAACCTTTTTGCCATCGCGTGCCAAAAGCAGAGGTCACACAGGGAGGTTGCGCAGAGGGGTCGCGCGTGTGTGTGCCCACACCCATAATTCTATGTGCCCCGCCCCCTGCGCATATGCGCGTGCCTCCCCCCCGCATTCCCCCCGCTTTTGGCACGCGATGGCACGGAGGCCCAGTAGGCCCCTTTTTTGCTCTCCCCAGGCTCCAGAGCCTCTCTAGGAGCCTGGGGAGAACAATAAACGGGCCTTCCGGTCCCACCAGAAGTTGGGCCTCCAGAGGGCCTCTGGGGTGTGTGTGTGGGAGGCCATTTTCGCCCTCCACTTTCACCCACCATTTTCGCCCTCCACAGCCTCCTAGAGAGGCTCTGGAACCTGGGGAGAGCAAAAAGCGGGCCTTCCCCACCCCTCCCAGGCCCTCCGGAGGCAGGAAACAGCCTGTTTCCCTACTTCCGGTGGGCCCAGAAGGCCTGAAAATCAGTTGGCTGGTGCACACATGTGCTCCAGAGCTGAACTCGTGTGCCCACCAATAATTGTGCCCACCACTCATGTGCCATCACGGCCTTACACCATTTCTTGAACCCTACAGCTGTGGATCCGATCACTTGCACCTAACACCAATATTTCTCAACGTTGGCTTACTTTAAGATTTGTAGACTTCAACTCCCAGAATTCCCCAGCCGTCATGGCAGTCCATGGGTTGCCCACCATTTACAATAGTACCCAGTGATGGTAAAGAAGAATTCAACTTACCCGTTTCTGTTGGGACTTTGGCAGGCGCCACCTCTAAGCTCTCGGCCTCCTTCCATTCGGCCGTTTTTCGAGATGACCTGGTTTTCGTGGGCAGCTCTGGAGCTTGCAAAAATGGGCTGGCCGTGCTTTTCACCGTTTTCTTCCCCAGCTCCTTTTCCACTTCTGAAAAAGGAAGAGACAAAAGGGAAAATCAGATTTAAGACCAGGAAATCATATCTGAAATTCAAACCCTCTTTAAAAGTGAGCTCGGTTTTGGTCACGGAAGGAAGGAAGGAAGGAAGGAAGGAAGGAAGGAAGGAAGGAAGGAGAAGGAAGGAAGAAGGAAGGAAGGAAGGAAGGAAGGAAGGAAGGAAGGAAGGAAGGAATCTACTTATGGAGGGAGGGAGGGAGGAATCTACAAGGAAGGAAGGAGGGAGGAAGGAAGGAATCTACAAGGAAAGAATCTATAAGGGAGGGAAGGAGAGAAAGGAAGGAAGGAAGGAAGGAAAGAAAGGAGAGAGAGAAAGAAAGAAAGGAAAGAAAGAAAAGAAAGGAGAGAAAGAAAAAAGGAAGGAAGGAAGGAAGGAAAGAAAGAAAGAAAGGAGAGAAACAAAGAAAGAAGAGAAAGAAAGAAAGAAAGAAGAGAAAGAAGAGAAAGAAAGAAAGAAAGAAAGAAAGAAAGAAAGAAAGAAAGAAAGAAAGAAAGTAAGTAAGTATGAATGAATTAATTATCAGGAGGCACCCACCATCTGAAATGCTGGATTCTTGAAACATCGTCTCAAACGCTTGATGGATTTCAGCAAAGGAGGGTCTGTCTGAAGGGCTCCACTGCCAGCCTAAAGAGAAGATCGAGGGAGCACAAGTGGTGAAAAACGCCGAGGGAAACTCCAGAAATGTGAGCTTTTCAACCCGGGATCAGAAGGCGCCTGGATGTTTCCCTGGTCTAGTTAGTTTCCGGAGCTTCGAAAAGGCAGCCGGCTAAGAGGAATGCCATTCCTCCCTGTGCTGTAGGGATAATAACCTCAGTGCAAAAAAATTAAAATGCCATTTTACAGTGACTGCCTCTTCCCTTAAGCGGGAGGTTAAAGGAAAACAAATCTTAACGTCCCCTCCAGGCCCAGGTTTGCCTTGTGGTTTTCCCCAACCTTAAAAGAAAATGAATCCCAGGCAGCGGAGCGCAAACTCACACTCTCTCATGAGCTCGTAGACTTTTTCTGGACAGCCCTCGGGACGCTCCATGCGATAGTCCTTCTCCAACAGTTCGTAGACCTGCGACAGGTCGATCCCAGGGTACGGGGACATGCCGTAGGTGGCAATTTCCCAAAGCAAGACGCCAAAAGCTGGAGAGGAAAGATGGGAAAAAATCAACAGAGGCGGCAATTCTATTCTATTCCTTATTCTATTCTATTCTATTCTATTCTATTCTATTCTATTCTATTCTATTCTATTCTATTCTATTCTATTCTATTCTATTCTATTCTATTCTATTCCATTCCATTCCACTCTACTCTACTCTATTCCTTATTCTATTCTACTCTACTCTAAATTACTCTACTCTGCTCTACACTATTCTATTCTATTCCTTATTCTATTCTGCTCTGCTCTGCTCTGCTCTGCTCTACTCTACCCTACCCTACCCTATTCTATTCTATTCCTTATTCTACTCTACTCTACTCCACTCCACTCCACTCCACTCCACTCCACTCTATTCTATTCCTTATTCTATTCTACTCTACTCTACTCTACTCTACTCTACTCTACTCTACTCTACTCCACTCCACTCCACTCCACTCCACTCCACTCCACTCCACTCCACTCCACTCTATTCATATTGATAAATAAATACGAAAACCTCCCACGTATCTCTTTGCTTTGGCCCAGCAACATAACAGAAGAGAAAGGAGTTGCTGGGCTTGAAAACAGAAGCCTTCAACTTGCATTACGAGATGAGTAACGACCGGTCGTTTCAAGGTGGCTATTTTTGAGATCTTTCTTTATTAGGCGTCTCCTCAGGCAGCAAAAGAGGGGAAGAAATATGTTGCCATAAGTCAGAAAGGAGAAGGAAACCTAAGATGAAAAAGCACCTCTTCCTGCTAGAAGAAAGTGGCTTTTTTATAAAACTCCAAAAAATAAAACAAAGTCGAAACTTTTCAGTCTGTTGCTCTCTTCCTACCCCACCTGGGATTAGAGAAAGGTGTGCGCAGTTATTCAATTTGATACAACCCCATCTTTTCTCGGGGCAAGATGGGTATAGAGCGAAGGGCTTTGTCAAAGTTGAGAAAAATGTCTGCATGAAAAAGGCCGAGGTCTGCTCCATCGGCGTAAATTATTATTATTATTTTTAATGAAAAATAAAGCCTCAGCTGGAAAAATAACCGCGTCAAGGAAGCTTACGCGCACTGCTCTACGAACACAAGAAAGATTGATTTGAATTCGATCTGGGTGCACATTTGCACACCGGGGTGGGGGGGGAATATTAGTCCTCGACTTATAACCGTCTGTTTTAACCGACTGTTTGAAGTTGCAACAGTGCTGGAAAATCTTACTTGGGACCCAAAGGTGCTTTTTCAGGAGGCAACTCGACTTTCTTGTTTTCCTTTGAACCTTTAGGACAACCATGACCTGGCTGACTGAGAATCTTCACAGACATTACTTAGGACTGGTCTTTGTAGTTATGACTGTCAAAACATCCCCAGGGTCACTCCTCCTCCTACCTCCACCTCCTCCTCCTCCTCTTTCTCACAAACCCCACTCCCTTCTAAGCACTGATGAAGCTACCTAGTTGGGTCAGGAAACATCTGCAAGAAAACAAGCAAGTTCAGAGAGCACCAAGGACCCCACAGCCCTTTTCTTCCTCCTCCTCTTCCTCCTCCTCCTTTCCACATACCTTCTTCCCTTCTAGAACTGATGATGCTATTTAGTTGGGTCACGAAACGTCTGCCAGAAAACCACCAACAAGCTCAGAGAGCAACCAAGGACCCCACAGCTCAACCCTGAGCTACAAATATTCTCTTTTATTAGAGAGATTCATCCACCCATCCACTCATTCGCTGGTTTAATAGCTGATCCAGTTCATTTACTGGATTTCCTACCTTCGATCTCAACCACTCCGACCCTCAACGCCTTTGGGATGACTTCCCTCCTTCCCCTCCTCAAATTTGTCTCGGGATTGTATTCTTTTCAATGGGTCAAAAGGAAGAAATCTTGAAATACATCAGGAGTAATAATCTTAACTGTACAAGTTTAGGAAACCCCTGAAGAATTTCAGCCTAAAAATGTCTGCACATCCTTAATCCAGCCAACTTTAAGATGTATTTGAGCTCCAGAAGTTGTGGGTGCTCCATTACTTTTAGATAATAAAATTATCTATCTATCTATCTATCTATCTATCTATCTATCTATCTATCTATCTATCTTTAAATTCCCATTGCAGGCAATGAGCTACCCGTTCTATCTATCTCATCTATCATCTATCTATCCATCCATTCATTCATCAGTCTATCTTATCTTATTTATCTATCCATCCATCCATCATCTATCCTATCTATTTATCATCCATCCTATCCATTCTATCTTATCTATAATCTATCCATCCATCCATTCATCCAGTCCATCTCATCTATCTATCTATCTATCTATCTATCTATCTATCTATCTATCTATCTATCTACTAGAGGTTTTCAAGATGAGATCAGACAACCATTTGACCAGGATGATATAGGATATCTCCTGCTTGAGGATGGTCTAGAAGACCTCCAAGGTCCCTTCCAACTCTCTCTCGTTCTGTATTCTTACCCCAGACATCAGATTTGATGGAGAATTTGTTATAAGCGAGGCTTTCCGGGGCGGTCCATTTGATAGGGAACTTGGCTCCAGCGTGGGCAGTGTACGTATCACCAGTCATCAATCTGCTTAAGCCAAAATCGGCTACCTTCACCAGGTGGTTCTCTCCTACCAGGCAGTTTCGGGCAGCGAGGTCCCTGCAGGGGGAGAAGGAGAAGATGGCTGTTAAGGAGACGCCGAAGGAAACGGCTTTAAAAAAAGCTTCAAGGGAAAAGCAAGAGTAAGGCAAAGAACATGCCGAGAGAAGGCAGGTTCAAGAGTAGAAAGGTATAGCGAGGAAGATAACACAGGTAGGTATGATTTGCAGTTTTAAAGAGGTGCTGCGCTAAACAGGGACACAAATAGATATGGGGGGGAGGAGAGGAAGAGGAGAAATATAATAAATAGAAGAAGAAGAAGAAGAAAAAGAAGAAGAAGAGGAGGAGGAGGAGGAGAGGGGAGGAGGAGGAGGAGGAGGAAGAAGAAGAAGAAGAAGAAGAAGAAGAAGAAGAAGAAGAAGAAGAAGAAAAGAAGAAGAAGAAAAGAAGAAGAAGAAGAAATAATAGGAAGAGAAGGAGAAGGATAAATAATAGAAGAAGGAGAAGGAGGAGAGGAATGGAGAAGGAGGAGGAGGAGCAGAGGAGGAGGAAGAAGAAGAAGAAGAAGAAGAAGAAGAAGAAGAAGAAGAAGAAGAAGAAGAAATAATAATAGGAAGGAGAAGGAGAAAGAGAAGGATAAATAATAGGAGAAAAAGAAGGAGGAGGAGGAGGAGGAGGAGGAGGAGGAGGAGGAGAATGGTGTAAGGTCTCCTGCCTGAGCAAGGGGTCAGACTAGAAGCTCTCTAGGGTCCCTTTCAGCTCCCTGTATTCCGTATGCTCTAGAGCTGTGGGGTTTCTCCAATGGGGGGGATGCACCCCACAACATCAGGCTCACCAATGTCATTTTTCAAAGTCCCAGGGAAGCATCTTGGCAGCGCCTACCTCCCGTGGAACGGAGTCCCAAATTCATCTCGGGAGGTGGTGGTGCTGGAAAAAAAGGACATGAAGGAGCCTGGTTTTTTTTCCCCTCCCCCCTTTTCCACTGATGGAAAGAGTGGATCAAATCTCCCGCTAGGTTTTGCTATTAGGGCGACCAGAGACCATTTCCCCAGACAAAGAATGCAAAGCCTTAGCTGTAATTGCCGCTCGCTTAAAGGTCAAAAAAAAATCCTCCTTGCAACGATGGTTAATAGAGAGCCGGGAGAGACAGATAAGGCATGCTGGACAATAAAGAATTGTGAAAGCCGAGCGGATGACAAGGTGAGTGAAGGATGGACGTCGGCAGCCACAAAAGGAGCTTTGGGAGAGAGGGAGAGGGAGAGAGGCACCCAAGGAAGAATGAGAGAGAGAGAGAGAGATGGAAAGAAAAGGGAGAACTTCATAAGGAGAAGCTGTTCTAATAGAAGGAAGGCCATTACGGGCAATTTTGGGGCCGTTCCTGGAGGCCCCTTGCGCGCTTTGCCACACAAAGAGGCGTGAAGAATGAGGAAGATGGTTTCATCGCCAGCCTTATTACAAAAGCACAAAGGCAGCCGGAACGAGCGGCTCACCTCCGCCCCGCAAGGCCCAGAGGGGTGAACGAATGAGTCAGGGGAGAGTTTTGGGGGGGCTTGACGGACCCCTAACAAGACACAAGCCCAGGCTTTCGCAATTCCACTCTGCCGAAGAGCAGCTCAGCGGGTTGCCGTCTCTCTGGAAGGAGAGCAAGGAGGGCGTAGGAGGGTGTGTGGAGATACGCAAAGAGGTTGGACGGGGAGATGCAAATATTGGGCTCGTCTTGGGTCAAAAAGGAGAGGGCGTCCATCAGTTAGGGTATTTCAGTTGATGTCTATCCCCACCCCCCAATGGGTTTAGCCGGTCCCACTTGGTTTAGAGGAAGGGGTTTGCTGTAGACCCCTGGCCGTTCAGGAATTTTGGCTGGCAGGGTTGAGGTAGAAGGGCCTTTTCTGCTGTGGCCCCTGGAACAGCCTGCTGTTGGAGGCGAGATCTGCTCCCACCCTCAGAGGGAGAGGGAGAGGAGTGGAGGAAGATGAAGGGAGGGAGGGATCAAATAATATACTATGGGGAGGGAGGGAGGGAGGGAGGGAGGGAGGAAGGAAGGAAGGAAGGAAGGAAGGAAGGAAAAAGAAGGGAGGGAGGGAGGAAGGTAGGTAGGTAGGTAAGAAGGAAGGAAGGAAGGAAGGAAGGAAGGAAGGAAGGAAGGAAGGAAGGAAGGAAGGAAGGAAGGAAGGAAGGACAAAATCCAACAAATTCCATAGTTTTGAGATGCTGCTGAACAAGAGAGGAAGGAAGGAAGGAAGGAAAGCAGGAGAGAAAGGAAGGAAGGAAGGAAGGAAGGAAGGAAGGAAGGAAGGAAGGAAGGAAGGAAGGAAGGAAGGAAGGGAACGGAGCTGGCATTCTCTATCCTACCTACCTGTGGATGAAGTTCTTCTTCTCCAGGTACTCCATGGCCGAGGAAATCTGGGTGGCCATGTAGAGGAGCACCACCGCGTTCACCTCTTGCCGGTTGCAATCCCGCAAGAAATCCAGCAGGTTCCCGTAAGTCATGAACTCCGTGATGATGTAGAACGGGGGCTCCCTTGTGCACACCCCTGCCAAGCAACGCCGACAGTAAGCCAAGGCGGAACCGCCAACCTCCCGTCTTCGGCAGCCTTCAAAAGCCGAGGAGGCCCCTAAAGGAAGGCTTCCCAGGTGGACGCCGAAGCTTTGGGCCTTCCGTAGACGAAAGCCGCCTCGGAAGAATTAATGAAAGACCCTGTTCTGGTTTTGGGTTTTTTTTTCCCTTCCCCGTTTTAAGGAATTAATTGCTAGCCCCCTGGCAAAGAACTGAAACATCTCGAGGTGAATCTAGGCTGCCTCTTGCCTCTTTCGCATCCCCAACGCCAGGTGAGGGGCTTCCGTGTCCGGGGCCATTTCTGACACTTACCCAGTAATTGCACCAAATTTGGATGCTTGACTTCTTTCATGACGGCTGCCTCTTTCAAGAATTCTTCTACCTCCATGGTATCTTCCTGTGAGGAGAACAGAGGGGGGGAAAAAGAAGGAATCAGACCCAAAAGTTGGTTGTGGGCCAGAAGAAAGCTATTTTCAGCACAATCATTAGAACTTATTTACTTACTTACTTACCTCCCTCTTTCCCTCCCTCCCCTCTCTCCCTCTCTTCCTTCCTTCCTTCCTTCCTTCCTTCCTTCCCTCTCTCCCTCTCTTCATTCCTTCCTTCCCTCTTTCCCTCCCTCCTTTCCTTCCCTCTCTCCCTCCCTTCATTCTCTCCTTCCTTCTTTCCTTCCTCCCCTCTCTCCCTCCCTCTTTTCCTTCCTTCCTTCCTTCCTTGGATGGATGGATGGATGGGGAAGGTAAGGGGAAGGAAAAGGAGAAGGAGAAGGGGAAGGAAGGGAAGTGACTATGGAGATTCTCAGCCATCCAGGTCATAGTTGTCCGAAAGGGGCTTTTTCAAGAGGCAACTGGATTTTCTTTTCCAGAAAGTCTTGAAAAAGCACCCTTCCCAAGGGAAGGGAAAGGGGGAAGGGATGAAGGAGGGAAAGGATAAATAGGGAAGGGAATAATGAAATGAGTCTGATCTTCTTTACAACAACCCAAGCCAACTTGAATTTTCCCCCTTTTTTAAATCGCACGAGCCAGTTCACTTCTCCCTTTCGCTGGTCTCCAATCCTAATGAGATTTGCGAGATCCCCGAGACCCTCAAGGAGGAGAAAGAAAAGGCAGATCATAAAATGGAATCGTTGCCCATCACAGCAGCTTTTTCCTTTGATTTTTCTTTTTTTCTTTTCCTCCCATGGAAAACTTGAAAGAACATGTGGTGAACTTGCAAAAGGATTGCTGGAGTGGAATTTTTTTTAAAAAAACTCTCCCTTCCCCAATACCCACTCAATTCACATCAGTGGAAATTTTCTTCTTCTTCTTCTTCTTTCCTTTTTTCTCCAGAAATTTCATTATCAAGATTCTTTTTTCTTGTGTTGGCCCGAAGGCCACACGCGGGAACTGCAGAGACGCCACCGAGCAAGAAACCCCAGTAAAATCAATGCAATTTCTAAAGAAACCCACAAATACTCCCAATTTCCCCTCTGCTCTGTTCCCCCTCCTCCTTTTCTGCGTATTTACTTGGAGAGGATTGAAAACTGAACTCTGTTGGAAACAGCAGACTTCCTTCCTTCTTGGAGTGTAGATGCTACGTGGGCCTCCTCATAATTTATTTTCTATTTAATTTTAAGGTTGTTACCCTTCTTTTTAAAGGTGCCATTGCAGTATTGCTGGAATACTGCAACCAATTTTGGTCACCGTACTACAAAAAAAGATGTTGAGGCTTTGGAAAAAAAGTTCAGAGAAGAGCAACTAAAAGGATCAAAGGCCTGGAGGCTAAAACCATTTGAAGAACGGCTGCAGGATTTCGGTCTGGCTAGTCTAAAGAAAAGAAGAACTAGGGGTGACATGAGAGCAGTCTTCCAATATTTGAGGGGCTGCCCCAAAGAAGAGGGAGTCAAACTATTCTCCAAAGCATCAGAAAGCAGGACAAGGAGCAATGGGTGGAAACTAATCAAGGAGAGAAGCAACCTGGAATTAAGGAGAAACTTCCTAATAGTGAGGAGAATTAACCAGTGGAACAGCTGGCCTCCAGAAATCGTGGGTGCTCCATCACTGGAGGTTCTTAAGAAGAGACTGGACAGTCCCTTGTGTGAGATGGTGTAGGTTCTCCTGCTTGAGCAGCGGGCTGGACTACAAGACCTCCAAGGTCCCTTTCTATTCTACTCTACTCTACTCTACTCTACTCTACTCTACTCTACTCTACTCTACTCTCTACATGAACTTTTAGCAATCATAGTTGTATGCAGGTAGTCCTTGACTTATGACTACAATTCTCGATGCACTGTGAGGTTGGTGGTTTTCTTGCAAATCTTTCATTACCAAGTTAGGTAACATCAGTGCTAGCAGGGAGTGGGGTTTGTAGAGAGGAGGAGGGGGAGGGGGAAGAGGAGGAGAAGGAGGAAGAAGGAAGAGAAGGAGAAGGAGAAGAAGGGGAAGGGGACGGAGAAGGAGGAAGAGAAGGAGAAGGAGAAGAAAGGGAAGGAGAAGGAGAAGGAGGAGAAGGAGAAAGAGAAGGAGAAGGGGAAGGAAGAGGAGAAGGAGAAGGAGAAGGGGAAGGAGAAAGAGAAGGAGAAGGAGAAGGGGAAGGGGAAGGAGGAGGAGAAGGAGGAGAAGGAGAAGGAGAAGGAGAAGGAGAAGGAGAAGGAGAAGGAGAAGGAGAAGGAGTGGCGCTTTCTGAGCTTGGTCGTTTTCTTGCAAACCTTTCATTACCAAACTAGGTAACATCATTTGCGCTACTAGACAGCTTGGCTTGGTTTCTGAGCGAGCTGTGTTAAAAGCCATATATATTTGACAGATGTTCAGTACAAAGAATAACAGATGGATGCTTGTGAATCTGCTAGAAGCATCCCGGCTTCTGAAAAAGGAGACCAAGACCGCAGCCCTGGGTCTTTATGTATGCATGGAAGGGTAGATAACTCCATGACAGTGATTCAATTCACAGTCAGAGAGTATGATAATTGAGAATGGCATTTCTACTTCCACAGCACTTCTATCTTGGCATCGCAGGAGTAGGAACTAACAGTATGAGAAACTGGATGCTTTCCTGCTGGCCATCCAAGAGATGCCCCTGTTTCTTTACTCCTAAGAGAAGCAGAATGTATAGTAGTCCTCTCAAAGACGGGTTGAGCTCCAACATACCTCAGCTCAGCAGGTAGCATGGCTGGAGGTTAGAGACAGAATGATGACAAGAGTTGGAAGGGACTTTGGAGGCCTTCTAGTCCAGCCCCCTGCTCAAGCCAGAGTATTCCATTTTTTCACAAATGGCTTTCCAGTCTCTTCTTAAAAACGTCCAGGAAAGGAGCACCCACAACTTCTGAAGGCAACTTCCGTTCCACTGGTTAATTGGTTCTCACTGTCAGGAAATTTTCTCCTTAATTCTAGGTTGCTTCTCTCCTTGCTTAATTTCCATCCATTGCTTCTTCTCCTGCCTTCAGGCGCTTTGGAGAATAGGTCGACCCCCTCTTCTTGGTGGCAGCCCCTCAAATATTGGAAGAATGCCATCATGTCACTCCTAGTCCTTCTTTTCCTTAAACTATCCATGTTCAGTTCCTGCAATTGTTCTTCGTACGTTTGAGCTTCCAGTCCCCTAAATCATCTTTTTTTGCTCTTCTCTGCACTCTTTCTAGAGTCTCAACATCTTTTTTATATCATGGCGACGACCAAAACTGGACGCAGTGTTACATTTTTTGGGAGAGGCGTGAAATTCATTTGGATGAGATCGATATACCACCCCGCAATCTGAAGTAGAGTTAAAATACGAAACGATCCAGTAAAATGGTACTTCCTGACAAAATAAAACACAGATCTGTGAAATTAAATCTGTGAAATTAAAAATTAACTGGGGGGGGAGGGATAAAAAGTAATCTGTGAAAATAAAATCCACCATTACCGCTAACCCCCCCTCCACCCAAGCATTTTTTATACTATCTTGGGTTTTTCTACACATTTCCATTTACTCCAGCAGACAAGAAACTGCATTGATGTATCGTACAATTGGAAAAGAGGAATATTGAAGGAAGGCAGCTCACAGAGTCTTAAAATGACTATTGATTCAAAAAATATAAGACAATCAAACCCATAGGCTATTGATTCCAGGCTGAATAGCACCCTTATTAGTTCACCAATGAGTTTGAGAACATTGCATGCAAAAATTTAACTGCCGTATCGCACTTTGGGTCAGGTGACCCAGCAATTCATAATTTGATCCTGGAAGGACTGTAGAATCTTTGTTAATACTTTTTTCTCCTCCTGCAGTGAACCAATGGAGAGTTCTCCATGAGGGCCATTCCTGGTGATGGCCACCACTCCAGAGCCTGGTTAACAGATTCCGCAATGAAATGGGACTCAGAATTTGCTTTGGAGGGAGGGAGGGAGAGAGGGAAGAAGGAAGGAAGGAAGGAAAATGGGAAAGAAAGGGAGGGAGGGAGGGAGGGAGGGGAGGAGGAGGAGACATGACAAAAGGAAAAAGGCTTGCTGAAAACTTAGAGTGGTTTGGCTCCCTACATGAGGCTAAGCCATCAATTATGGTTTATCAAAGCACGCCGAGCTAAACCCAACCCAACCACCTTTCGGCTCTACTCAGTGGGGGAACCAAGCCACAATGAGGCAGAGCTCGGCTAACCAAAAATAAATAAATAAATAAATAAATACAGAGACCGGAAGGAGAATGGAGAAAGGAGGAAAAAAATGTATGCGGAAAAATCAAAATATGGGACAGATCTCCAATTGAGGCGAAACTGAGGCAGCCAACTGAGGCAGCATCGCTCCCAAATGCAAGGAAGAAGGAAAGTCGCCATCTCGATCAAAAAAAATTGCGAGATACCGCTACATCTCAAGATCCAGACTGCAGCTGTTACCGACCGTCCTCCACTTACGACCATTTGTTCAATGACCATTCGAAGCACTGGGAAAAATAGTGACTTATGGCCGGTTTTTCACACGTATGACCCCCCCCCAAAAGGTTGTTAAAATGAGGCACAACTCCCTTTAACAACCGCCTTGCTTAGCGATGGACGTTTGAGGCTCCATTATGGTCGTAAATCGAGGACTGCCTGTAATCCAGTTTAGGAAAACCACCGTACAAGATCTAAAGCAAAAAGCCCTGTGCAGAAAACTGAGAGAGCTTTAGAATGGCTCTTCCACCATATCCCTCCCCCTTCTGTGCTTGTGTGTGTGTGTGTGTGTGAGATTGTGTGTGTGTGTGTGCTTGTGTGTGTGTGTGTTTGGGCAAACATCCCACGCTAATTGAAGTCTTATTTAAGGGCATCGCCCGAGCTAAACGTTGCGAGGAGTATTGAATGGGGGCAGCGCTGGCCTTCATTTATCTCTCTGCGCAAACTACTTTGTCAAACGAGCTTCTCGGTGGCTCCCGGCCACTCCGAAAACAGGATAATAAATAGTCTGCGGCAGAAAAATAATTAATCACCACCCCGAAGTCCAGTCGGAACTGCGGAGGCGGCTTCCTTCCCGTTATTAGTTCAGCTCGGAGAGCCGACCCTTGCTGGGGGAGGCAGGGCAAAAAGAGACGGTCCAGCGAACTGGTAGCGGCGACTGTGAGTGGCCCGCCCACCTGCCTGGACGTATCCATCCATCTATCCAACTGAAAGAGTATAGGATCTCCTGTTTGACAAGGGGGTTGGAATAGAAGACCTCCAAGGTCCCTTCCAACTCTGTGATTCATTCCTTCCTTCCTTCCTTCCTTCCTTCCTTCCATCCATCCATCCATCCATCCATCCATCCTTCCATCCATCTGAAACAGTATAGGATCTTCTGCTTGACAAGGGGGTTGGAATAGAAGATCTCCAAGATCCCTTCCAACTCTGTGATTCCTTCCTTCCTTCCTTCCTTCCTTCCTTCCTTCCTTCCTTCCTTCCTTCCTTCCTTCCTTCCATCCATTCATCCAGAACAGTATAGGATCTTCTGCTTGACAAGGAGGTTGGACTAGAGGACCTTATTCTATGTTCTAGGTCCCAGATAAGTTCTGATGCTGGGAAAGATGGAAGGAAAGAAAAGAAGAGAACCAGCAAGAAGGTGGAAGGACTCAGTTACAAGGCTGATGTGGCTACAATTGAAAGACTTGAAAGAATAAGCTAGAGAGATAATAGATTCTCCAGGAGAAATTCTCTAGGAGTCAAAAATGACCTGATTATAATCCATCAGTCATTCAAAAGTGACAAGCGAGGGGGAAAATGTGAAAAGATGAGTAATCTAAGTGTTAGATAACCAGGAGCTGGAGGGAAAGCAGGACTGTCATCCTGAATCCCTTGAAAAATTAGAAACTAGTGTAACATTATTTTACTCCTCGTTTTTGGGTTTGTTTGTTTTTTTCCTCCAAGGACTTGGGGTGACAATTCGGCAAACTTGGGAAGTCAGCAGCGGGAAACCTGGTTACATCCCTGCGACCGGGCATCTTTCAGAAAAATCATTTGGGTCTTTTGTTATTTTGTGCGGGAAGACGCAGGAAAGACAGTTATTGAAATAAAGGGGTTTTTAAAAGCCATTTCTGCTCTGTCCCCAGTCATTTCGTGGGGGAAATCGATGGTTTCCTAGAACTGGCACAGCTTCAGGGAAGAGAGATCACAAGCTGTGATGAATGCAAGGTTTGTCTTTCTTGATCGGGTCAGAATTGGAGGCCGTTTGGAGTAATAAAGAGATTGGTTTCATGCCACAAAACCAACTATCATACAGGCGGTCCTTGATTTACGACCATAATTGAGCCTGACATTTCTGCTGCTTGTTAACTCAGTTTTACCCCATTTTACCGCCGTCGTCGTTAAGTTAGTCACACGGTTGTTAAGTGAATCTGACTTCCCCAGTGACTGGGCTTGTCAGAAGGTGGCAAAAAGTGATCGTGTGTGACCGTTTTTTGCGTCCCTTGGGGAACAAAAATCTCCAGAGTTGAGTTGGCCGTTTTTTCTCGCATTAGCCGACATTCCCGATTATTAACACTAGATGGCAGTATTTCCCCATCTTTTAAAAACCACCACAAAAAGGAACTTGGGAGGATTTCCCTCTTTTCAAAATTAAGTCTCCTAGATTAAGTCTGGTTTTAAGGCAACCGAATGCAATCGAAGATTCGAAAATGAAGATTCGCAACGCTTACCTTGAGGGTCTTCACCGCCACGGTGAGGTTGTACTTCTTCCAGACGCCTTCGTACACCTCTCCGTATTGTCCGCCCCCCAGCTTGTGCTTCATCGTGATGTCCGTCCGTTCGATCTCCCACTTGTCGTAGTTGGGAGAGACCCCGTAAATGGTGGGCTTGTTCCTCTTCGGGGCAGGGTAATGGAGAGTGATGATCAGCCCGTCGGCCACCGTTGAGTGATGGTGGACCAGCTCGGCCAACGTGTTGAAGCGGCTTTCCGAGGAGACGTAAAGCTGGAGAGGAGCAAAAGAGAGAGGTGAGCCCGGCGGTCTTCGGAAGTTCCTTTTCTACATGATGATGGTGGGGACGTTAGTCGATGATTATAAGTAGTCCTCAACATGGGTGAACTTCAAAATTTTTCTCTACTGGTTCTGTGGGCGTGGCTTGGTGGTGGTGGGGTCATGTGACTGGGTGGGCGTGGCCAACTTGACATCACTCACGTCAAGGGGCGCCTCACCCGGCCCTTCCCCCAACTCTTGGAACCTGCTATGTCTTTTAAATGTTATTTAAACTGGATTTGGGAAAGCTGAGAGCCAGTTTGGTCTAGTGGTTAAGATGCTAGCCTAGAGACCAGAAGATGGTGAGTTCTAGTATCACCATAGGCACGAAAGCCAACTAGCTGACTTTTAGCCGATCACCAGGAGACGGTGAGTTCTAGTATCGCCTTAAGGCACGGAAACCAGCGGGGTGACTTTGGGCCAATCACCAGGAAACGGTGTTCTAGTCCCACTTTAGGCATGAAAGCTGGCTGGGTGACTTGTTCCAATCCCCCCCCCCCCTCTCTCTCAGCCTAACCCATCTCACAGGGTTGTGGGGAAAATAGGAGGAGGACAAGAGTGTTAAGAAAGTTTCACCACCTTGAGTGATTCATAAAAATATATTTTTTCATTCAATCGCATCCAATTCTCAGCCTAGGCAATTCCCTTTCTTGGCAAAGTTTTTCAGAAGAGGTTCGCTATTGTCTCCTTCCTAGGGCTGAGGGAAAGTGGCTGGCCTAAGGTCACCGAGCTGGTTTTGTGCCCAATGCAGGACTAGAACTCACAGCCTCCCAGTTTTTTAGTCTGACGCCTTAACCGCTCTCATAGAAATAATAAAAGCTGCATTAAAAAGTCTAAAAAAAATTTTAATCTAACAATGCCAGCTAGAATCACTGTCATTCGTACCCTTCCCCTTTTATGTTCTATGTTATTCCCTGCAAAACACATTATATATTTTTTTTTTATTCTTCTTAGGATGTACCTATCTTTGATTTAAAAAGCCACATTCTGCCTTCTTTCCCCTGTGGCTCATGTCAACTTTTACAAAAGATAACAAGATCCGGGATGGGCAGCTTTTGATATAGGTTTTTCCAAAAATCCTGCAGGCTCTTTCAAATGCCGATAAAGCAACATTATACTACACACGCTGAATGTTAACTCCCTTCTTCCCTTCTTCCATCATCTTCAGCCTGACTCTAGTTTATAGTTCAAGGTACTCCTTGACTTTTGACTTCCTTCCTTCCTTTCTTCCTTCCTTCCTTCCTTCCTTCCTTCCTTCCTTCCTTCCTCATTCCCTCCCACCTTCTTTCTGCCTCTTTCCTTTTCTTTCCTTCCTCCCTCCTTCCTTCCCCTTTCCTTCCTTCCACTTCCTTCCTTCCTCCTTCCCTTTCACCTTTCTGCCTCCTTCCTTCTTTCTGCTTCTTTCCTTCCTCCCTCCCTTCCTCCCTCCTTCCCTTTCACCTTTCTGCCTCCTTCCTTCTTTCTTTCCACCCTCCCTCTCTCTTCCCTTCCACCTTCTTTCTGCCTCTTTCCTTTTCTTTCCTTCCTCCCTCCCTTCCACTTCCTTCCTTCCTCCTTCCCTCCCATCTTCTTTCTGCCTCTTTCCTCCCTCCTTCCCTCCCTTCCTTCCTTCCAGCAGCTAAATACAGGGCCCACTTAGCAACCAGAGGGAACCGCTGCTCCGTTATATATGATTAATTCAAGGTAGTCTAAACGATTATCAGTCGCCAGAAAATGCAGCCGGCCAAACACAAATTATTCATCCGTAAGGCTTCTAGCGGCAGGAACCCTGTCGTGACAAAAATCACCCTGAGAGATAAGGCACCAAAAGGAAAAAAAAAAAGCAGAAACGAAGAAAGGAAAGGGGGGAAAAAAGAGGAAATTTAAATCCCGCCGTCATCAGCCACACTTCCCTGAAAGTCACCTTAAAGAAGGCCTGCAGTTACAACTCTTAGAGAAACCACTGGTGCTCCTTGACTTACAACTGTTCGTTTAGGGACCGTTAACACCACTGAAAAAAGGGAACCGGTAACCGGTTCTCACACTTATGACCGTTGCAGCGTCCCCCGTCGTCACACGATCAAAATCATGTCATTAGGAAGGTTGCCGAATCTCTGAGTCATGTGATCACTGTTTGTGACCTTCCGATAAGCAAAGTTGATGGGCAAAGCCGGACTCGCTTAACGACCATGTGATCCGCTTAACATCCACAGCAAAAAAAAAAAAAAGATTGTAAAAGATGGTCACACAATGAGTCGCTTAACGACCGTATCCCTTAGCAATTCCAATTGCAGTCGTTAAGTTAAGGACTGTCTACCTACGGCTTCTTCCTTGATAGCTTTTCTGAAACGAGCAATTGAAAAAAAAAAATGACATATTTAACCTCGTTTGCAATTTCTCCTCTGTTTCCCGAGCCCTCCTGACACTTTTGCGATGGGTGGCTCCCTCCCTCCCCGATTCCCCAGCCTCCTAAAACTGCTGTATTTTCAACACCTGCAGTTATTAACTTGTCCGATTAAATTAATAACGGCGTGATCGGGAGGGTGGGGGGGGAGATTCTGCGGAAGCGAAGAGCTACACCGTCTGGCTCTACCTGGTTTTTTTCTCCCGGCAAATCCCAGCCGGGCCCCCGAGATACGATATCTATTTTATCAAACAACTTAATATTGTTTCATACGGCGGCGGCGTGGATAATGGGTCCAACGAGAATCTAATTCCGCCCCGTTTCCTGGATGTTATTTTATTAAAACTAGAAAACCTCCGGCTGATAAGAATTCCGACAAAGGAGCCGGTGGACGTTCGGTGCTAATGAAAATCCCCTGGCTGTTATCTCTTCTTGAAAAATTCTGATTAAAACAACTCCGGGGTAAGGAAAGAATCGTTAATCTGTTCAGCAAAAGCCTCTCCAGGTATTTCCACCGAGTGAGGATGGACTGGCCTCTAGTGGAAACAGCGCAGAAGGAAGCATCAGGTGCTCCTTCTAGCAATTTTAGGCAAGTAATTTTACGCAGGTGGTGGGACATCTAGCCACCCCAGGTAGTCCTCGACGTACGACAGTTCGTTTAGTGACCATTCAAAGTTACGACAGCACTGAAAAGTGATTTGTGACCAGTTTTCACACTTATGACCGTTGCAGCATCCCCGTGCAGCATTCACGTGATCGAAACTCAAGACGCTCGGCAACGGACCCGTATTTATGACGGTCGCAATGTCCCCGGATGAACGTGATCCTTTTTGCGACCTTCTGTCAAGCAAAATCAAGCCTGATTTCACTTAACTGCCATGTAACTTAACTGCAGTGATTCACTTAGCAAGCGTGGCAAGGAAGGCCGTAAAATGGGGCAAAACTCGCTCAACCGTTGTCTATCTAACAAAATGAAATTCAATGTAGAGAAAAGTAAAGGCAAGAAAAACAAAAAGTAGATATATAGACTGGGTGAAACCAGGCTTAATAGCAGTGACTGTGAGAGGCATCTTGGAGTCTTAGTGGACAACCAGCTAAATAGGAGCCAGCAGTGCAGCGGCAGCCAAAAAAGCCAATGCAATCCTAAATTGCATTAACAGAGGGATACAATCAAGATCAAGGAAGGTACTAATACCACGCTACAAAGCCTTAGTAAGACCACACCTAGAATCCTGGATCCAGTTTTGGTCACCACACTAGAAAAAAAGATGTGGAGACTCTAGAAAGAGTGCAGAGAAGAGCAACTAAGATGATTAAAGGGGAATAAAACATATGAAGAACGGTTGCAGGAACTGGGCCTGGCTGGTCTAGTGAAGAGAAGGACCAGGGGAGACAGGAGAACATCTTTCAATATTTGAGGGGCTGCCCCAGAGAGGAGGAAGGGGGTCAAGCTATTCTCCAAAGCACCTGAAGGCCAGACAAGGAATAATGGATGGAAACTGACCAAGGAGAGAGATTCAACCTAGAAATAAGGAGGAATTTTTCTGACGTTGAGAACAATCAACCCATAGAACAGAAGTTGCCTTCAGAAGGTGTGAGAGCTTCATCACTGGAAGCTTTCAAGAAGAGACTGGACTGCCATTTGTCGGAAATGGTGGAGGGTCTCCTGCTTGGGCGGGGGGTTGGACTAGATGACCTCCAAGGTCCCTTCCAACTCTGTTAATCTGTTTAAATCTGTCTCGCTTGGCGAAAGAAATTTTGGGCTCCGTTGCGGTCGTAAGCCGGAAAGAATTTGCGTTGATTTGATTCCATAAAAAAAATTGGAAAATCGGAAGATGCCTCCATCTGAAGAGTGCCAAATACACAAAACTGGTCACACTTGTTGTGTGCTGGTTGTTGGCACAACCTCAACCAAACTCACCTTCCCGTCAGAGGCGGTGTTGATCCGGTAATGGTAGACTCTCCCCTCGTATCTCAAGGAAATGGATCTCTGACCAGGGCTGCTCTCGCTTTCCCGTACCAAAAAACTGCCGTTTATCCCGCTGCTGAGCAGGTATTCCGCTGCGTTGCGTGAAACCGGTCCATGGTACCACGAATGTTTTTCCAAGCTGTTTACGGGGGTGATGTAGTTGCTGGGCACCCAGCCTTGTCCGTTCTTGGTCTGGGCTTCGCACCATTCTCCGTTGTGATTGTAACCCAAGACGCGAAGTTTTTCCCCTTTGGGATAAAGAAGCGGGGAGAAAAAAACCCGATCACAACTCTGAGAATTGTCGGAGGCGACTCGGAGAGGGAGGTTCGCAGGGAGCGATTAAAACACAGCGAAATAGCAAAAGGAGGGAATAGTGGCAGCTCGGGGGTTGAACTGCGGGGCCCTTGGAGGTCTCTGAACTTCCAGGCGTTTCATGACCCAGTTAGATAACATCATCAGTGCTAGGAACAGGGGTGAAATGCTACCGGTGAACCGGTAGTAAAAAAAAAAAAGAAGCTACCAGTTCGGGAGAACCAGTATTTCCGACGATCAGCTGTGCCGCACGGTTTAGCTTTGCTAGAAAGCAGGAAATCCTGCTTTCTAGCAAAGCTAAATCGAGCGGCACAGCTGATCCCCCTCCTTGCTGTTCTACTTACCTTCCCAAGCCTCCTTTTGGTGCGTACTGCACATGCGCGTGCCCACAGCACGTGCCAAAAGGAGGCTTGGGAAGGTAAGTAGAACAGCGGGATGGGATCAGCTGTGCCGCGCAGTTCAGCTTTGCTACATAGCAGGAAATCCTACTTTCTAGCAAAGCTAAATCGTGCGGCACAGCTGATCATCCGCCTCGCTTCTACTTACCTTCCTAAGCCTCCTTTTGGTGCGTGCTGCACCATATTATAAAACAGTTTATAAAGCAAAACGCCTTCCCATTCGGTTTTCCCGTTTTGAGGACTTACCTTTAGTGATGCTGAGAGTATTGTCACCGCTGGCGACGAAATCGTACAAGGCCACAAAAAGATTCGGATCATTTTCACCCGGAGCAGAAAGGAGGTTTTCTTTGGAATTCCAGCGGGCAGCTTCGCTCAGACTCTGCGGCTCGAATTCGGAGGCGACGGGCCGTTGAAGCGCTTCTGGTTGGAAGGAGAAAGAAAGAGAGACAGAAAAGGAGAAGTGAGATCGTTTTCTCGCCGGCGGATTTCTAGCACTTGCTCGTCTGTTCTCCCACCGGCTGAGCCTACCCTCAGTTTTAAAAAGAAAAAAAAAATTATCAGAAAAGCACAACAGAAGAAGGAGCGAAGAAAGTGGGAAAACGGCTGCGACGGTGAAGTGAATCGGTCTATTGTGAGGCCTGCACAATGCCACAACCATAGGGTATATATTCATGTGAATTCTCTTGAATTCAATTTGAGGGGTTTGAATGGGATTCCCTTGAACAAAGAGGGATTATCGGAGAATGGGATTCCATGCAGCCTAAATTCAACACAGCATTTAAAAGTCTGAATTGCAGAGATCTGTATAAATACTTAACTGGGGGAAAAAGGGAATTTTTGGCTTTTTGTAACAGTTCTTCCCTCTCTCTCACACACAGACATTTTCTCTTTCTCTCTCCTTAGTTTCTCTCTCCTTCTCTTTCTCTCCTCTTTCTCCTTCTCTCCTTCTCTCTCTCCTTATCTCTCCTTAGTTTCTCTCTCCTTTGCTTTCATTTCTCTCTCCTTCTCTCCTTCTCATTGTTTCTCTCTCCTTCTTTCTCTCCTCTTTCTCCTTGTACACACACTCCCTAAAACAAAATAAGATTCTTCTTTTTATGAACGCTTCTCCCATCACGACAATCTTGGAATTGACAATATCTCTTGGACGGCCACATTTTTCCTCAATGCAATAAACACTGAAAACCAGGAAAGGAAATCAGCTTCCGGTCTCTTGGTGACCAGCCAAGAGTGATGGAAGGAAAACACAAAAATGTTTATTTGACCAAACCCAACACAACATGAGTGGATTTCTGGGTGTGTAACCATTGGTTCTCCAGAAACTCTGTTTCTTTCTCCAAGATCACAAGCACAAATTTCCTTAGCAATTCTGTTATTTCCTCTCCACGACATGCATACAAAGTCACTTCTGCTACAGTATTGTTGATTCCCCCCCGCCCCCCACCAGATTGCAAATTGCATCAGCAGGTCACTAATTTTGGTCTTTGGAAAACTGTCCAAGCTATTTTTGGGAAGGTCTTATTATATTGGGACGCATGGAGGAAGATGGGGCTCCTCTGGCTGTCTTACCTGATTTCTAGCTCAGCGTTTAAATATTTTTGGAGAGGGCTTATTATCGAGGGGAGGCTTATTTTCAGGGAAATAGGATATATATATATATATATATATATGGTTTTCCCAGTTGCAAGGGATGGCTGTGAAAGTTGGACCATAAGGAAGGCTGAGCACCAAAGAATGGAGGCCTTTGAACTCTGGTGCTGGAGAAGACTCCTGCGAGTCCCTTGGACTGCAAGGCCATCCAACCGGTCAGTCCTAGAGGAGATCAACCCTGACTGCTCTCTAGAAGGCCAGATCCTGAAGAGGAAACTCAAATCCTTTGGCCACCTAATGAGAAGGAAGGACTCACTAATACTGGGAACGATTGAGGGTGAAAGAAGAAGGGGACGGCAGAGAACGAGGTGGCTGGATGGAGTCCCTGAAGCAGTCGGCGTGAGCTTAAATGGACTCCAGAGGATGGTAGAGGACAGGGAGGCCTGGAGGAACGTGGTCCATGGGGTCGCGATGGGTTGGACACAACTTCACAACTAATAACAACAACATATAGTTAAATAGCTTGTATTTCACTGTTTGGCGGGTGATGTGTTTCTCTCCCACCCACCCTTTTAAGGCACTTCAGGCCTTGTAAAAGGAGCCAAAAAGGCGAGAAAAGTATTTTTTTTAAAAAAACATAAATTCATAAAAGGGAAACGCTTTCACGTCTGCTCAGATTCCAAAGCAGGAACTTTGTTCAACAAAGTGTTCGGCTTTTCTGGCCCTGCGAGATCCGTGTTTATAAACAGGGAATCACTGCTGGGGAGTGTAAATTGTTTCCAAGTGTTTTGCAAAATAAGAGGCTTTTGATCCGTTCCCCCCACCCCACCCCACCCCCATCACCCAAGTCTTCAATGGTCGTAACGGAGGAACCACACAAGAGATTCTTAGCAGCATTCCTCCAGGCTCCCAAGGCTCAACGGACGCAGAGACCATGGGCTACGGGTCCCATCACAGGTGGTTCCCGACTTACGTCCACGATGGACGCCCAACTTTTATGTTGCTAAGGCAGACAGCTGTGAAGTGAGCGTTGCTCCGTTTCACGACCTTCCTCTTGCCAGTGTTGTTAAATGAATCAGTGCCGAGGTTATGGTGGTAACGAAGTTGTTAAGTGAATCTGGCTTCCCCGTTAACTTTGTTTGTCTTTCCTTTTCTTTCTCTTCCACCCTTCCTTTTTCCTTTCTTTTCCTTTCTCGTCTTTTCTTTCTCTTTCTTCTTTTTTCCTTTTCTTTTTTCCTTCTTTCTTTTCTTTTTCTTTCTCATCCTTTCTTTCCCTTCCTTCCTTCCTTCCCTCCGTTCTTTTTCTTTCTTTCTTACCAGTTTCTTTCTTCTTTTTTTCTTTCTTCCTTTCACATCTTTTCTCTCTAATTTTTTTCCTTCTTTCACTTCTTTCTTTCTTTCTTTCTCTTTTCTTTTCCCTTGATCTTTAAATGGGAATTTCAACTTCGCAGGAATAATTCCTCCTTCAAAAAAAACAACTTTTCAGTTATGTCATTTTTGTTCCCCCAAAAGCAATTTTGCTTCTCTGGGAGAAATTCCACCTGGTTCCTTTTTTTTCCAGAGTTTAGCAGAGGCTGTTGGGATATTTTCCTGCCTGGGAGGGGTTGCATATATTGCAAGCGAGAGGTGGGGGGGGGGGGCTTTGCAAACCAGCCAGGATGAGCTGCCAAAATCTTTCCTTCTTCCGGCCACTTGAGATAATATTTACCAGGTGGAATCGAGTGGAAAAGAGGATACAAACTAAGATTGGTGGAAACCACAAAAAGGAGAACTTGGTTAAGTGCTTTGGAGCTAAGCCAAGGTTTTTGTTTTTTTGTTTTTGTTATAAAGAAAAATTGGCTCACCCAAGACATTAACTTAAAAGCAGTTCGAAGAAAATTTGTCGCTGGGAATTGGTTTTCGGAAGCTCGGCATGAAATAAACAAAATGAGCAAGAAGTTTCATAGATAACTTGCAGGTTGTTTGGTGTGTGTGCGTAAGAACGTGGCAGTTGTGAAAAACTCCAGCCATCTCATGGGAGATCTTGAAGGTGAGATTACAGAAACCAGAAGAGCTTGGATGATGATCTCAGATGTTGGCCTTTTTAGGTTTTCTGAAAAGACTGCCGGTCCTTGGGGTGGTTGCGTCCGACAGCTTTCTCCAATTTAGCACACATAACACAGCCAATTTTATGAGAACACAACTACCAGAATTGGTAAGCGGAAGGAGGGAGGGAGGGATTATTCTATTCTATTCTATTCTATTCTATTCTATTCTATTCTATTCTATCTATTCTATTCTATTCTATTCTATTCTATTCTATTCTATTCCATTCCATTCCATTCCATTCCATTCCTATTCCTATTCCTATTCCTATTCCTATTCCTATTTCTATTTCTATTTCTATTCCTATTCTAATTCTATTCTACTCTGCTGTCCTCTCCTCTATTTTCTGTTCTATTCTATTCTATTCTATTCTATTCTATTCTATTCTATTCTATTCTATTCTATTCTATTCTATTCTATTCTATTCTATTCCATTCCATTCCATTCCATTCCATTCCATTCCATTCCATTCCTTATTCTATTCTATTCTATTCTATTCTATTCTATTCTATTCTATTCTATTCTATTCTAAATGAGATACTCAGCAGGCTTCAGGAGTCGAAAATCAGATGCGTTTAGTTCCTTCGGAAGATCCGTACAAGCTGCAAGCCAAGAAGCCTGTTGAAATGAGTTAAGGGACCCACTTGGTCCATTCAAGGTCCAAGCGTATCAAACCCCAAATCCAAAACAGGAAACGTGATCCTTCTTCACCCACTCAACCCTTTTTTGGCAAATCTCTAACCACAACAGGCTCTCAACTGGAAGTTCGAATTTCCTGCCGTTTTATGATGATGATGGAAACCCAGCTCCTGGCTCTGGATAAACACCAGAATTCCTCTGTGTCCTCCAGACCATCGTTCCCGGCTTCCAAAATCAACAAAGGACTCTCCAGCCGTGGTAATCTCAACCTTGGCAATTTAGGAAGATGTGTGGACTTCAACGCGGATGGCTGGGGAATTCTGGGAGTTGAGATCCATGCGTGATCCGGCGGCCGAGACTGAGAAACCCTGCTCTGATCTTCTCCCTGGTGCCAAGTTGTAGAGATCTACAAACCAGGAACCTTCTCAGAAATTAGCTGCTAAGGTTCATCCCGGTGAGTCGTGCGGGACTCTTCGCCCTTCCACGTTTTTATAACTGATTTTTTTTCTTGTTAAGAAACATTACAGGTGGTCCTTTGACCTACGACCCCAACTGTGCCCAACGTTTCTGTGGCTAAGCGAAGAGTGGTGTTAAATGAGTTATGCCTCATTTTATGGCCTTTCCTTGCCACCGTTGTTAAGTCAATCACTGCATTAAGTTAAGTAACACGGTCAGAGGTGGGTTTCAGATATTGTTACCCTGTTTCCCCGAAAATAAGACCTCCCCTGATAATAAGCCCAATCGGGCTTTTGAGCGCATGGCAATAAGGCCAAGCGCTTATTCCAGGGTTCAAAAAAAATATAAGACAGGGTCGTATTTTCGGGGAAACACGGCAATGACCTCTTAAGTCTGCTCTATGGTTGTTAAAAGAGTTAAGCCCATGGTTTGCTATGGCTGTGGTTTTGTCGAAAACCAGAACTGCCCATTTTCGGCAGAACCGTTCGTGTGGCCATGTTGCTGAGCATCTTAAGTTTGATCATGTGACTGAGGGGCAACCATCAGAACTTGGAATGGAGGAGGACTGCGGGGTCCCTGGTCTTCTCTGAGCTTGGTTGTTTTCTTGCAGACATTTCATGACCCGACTAGGTAACATCATCAGTGCTAGAAAG